GTTGGCGTGTACAATAACAACAGTGCATACACCTGAAGTCAGAGTACTTGGATGGGGTTCTAGGAGTTCTTCAACTCCCCAAGCCTGGCCCGGGGCCAGCCTTGAGACGAGACCGAAAACGGTTTAAATCAAATCAATGTCTATATCGAGAAAATGTAAAGTATGCTACATGTGATTCTGGAGAAACACAAAATAAAAAGTTCAGAAAACAATGCCACAGACATAATAATTTCCCGGTGACTGCTCCCCACCGCGAAGTCCAGTACCATCCATTAATGGTTGTAAATGTGAAAAACTGCCAATATTATAATGTAAACAGAATTCCAGGCAGAAAAGAGAATTTGTTAGTGACAAACCTTCGATTTCAGAAGAAAAAAGTGGGAAAAATGAACTTGGAAAATAAAAGCCTCGCAGTTACTGTTACCTGTACTAAAGAAAAGCAGGTAGACTTTGTACCTAGTGCGGCAACTCGTATTCAACTTGCAAGTACAGACTTATGCAATACTATCCTTAACAATCGCATACCTGGACTGGACAAAATCAGCAACTTCAGATGAAAATCCGTGAAAATATCAAAAGCAAAAAAACTTTTCATGAATTATTCTTGGATTATATCAATCGATAATCCATGAATATGATTATCGAGAGAGCTGTACGTGTGAGGCAGGCAGTTAATCAGTCTCTCTTTGTCTCATTCTCTCTCTCCCAGTCTCAGTCTTTCACTCTCAGTTTCTCTCTCTCTCTCTCTCTCTCCCAGTCTCAGTCTTTCACTCTCAGTTTCTCTCTCTCTCTCTCTCTCTCTCTCTCTCTCTCTCTCTCTCTCTCTCTCTCTCTCTCTCTCGAGCATTCACAACGTCACTGAAGTGATGTACAGTGTACTAAATTACCCGAACCTAACCTAACCTAACCCAGGATTTATGAATAGAAACCAGGATATCACGTCAATTTTGCGAGCAGCTGTGATTTTTAGTAAATACGTTTTTAATCTTAAGAGATTTATACGTCAAAAGGCAATGTACTATTCGAGAGGACATCTGTCGAATAGTACAGCGAGACAAAAGTGCACTGAGAGACAATAGTACATCGAGACTCACACTCACTCACTCTCTCTCACCCTCTCATCCTCCGGCGCTACAAGAACTATATCAACAGTCCAGATCCAGTAGAAGGCAGAAAAAGAGGTGGCATATTCTCGGCAGTAGGCAAGAGATATCTTTATAGCCCATATTCCTGTTATAAGCTTTATACCACGGGGTTTGAGTCCCCTCATGGTTGCTACTGATTTTCTCATTGATACATCATGCTAATGAGATTTCATTGTCAATATTACCTCTATATTTCTGAGTGGTTGCAGGGCTCAAATGAGGGCAGTTGATACGATCCTCACAACACTCCTTTCTCCATTACTGAAGAGCTCAAGAGCCTGCAGGATATTACAGATTTCCTTCAGAGAATTGCAGAGTTTAACTAACGATTGCAGGAAGGAGTGCCCCTTTTCTCTTTAGATGTTTCTGCCTTATACCTCAAGTAGAAGCAGCATGTCGAGACGCATCTTTCTTCAAGGAATACAAGGGCAAAATCGCAGACAATCAAATCAAATCAAATGTTTATTTAGGTAAGGTACATACACATACAATCAACAACATGCCAGAGTAAGACGTCCCCCAGTAAAGATGTTACGGTCTAGAAGCCACAGACTGTGACCATGACACGGAAGTGTATACAGTATAGCTATTCTCTTTACAATTCAAAGTTTCTTTGATGCCCAGGGAAGATTTCTAACTTGGGTACACGATTCTGGTATGGGAAGAGTTTTCCCAACATGGCCACCAGGAAATTTACTTAATGTTGGGAAATTGTCTATCTTGGGAATGGTTGCTTCTAGCCAAGAATTGCATAGGTCCAAAATTGTTCACTAAACTTTATTACACTGTATTAAGTCACTTATAACATGATTTACCTGCTTTATTTGATACACTGTAAATGAATTGCATACTAAATACTGTACCTTTATTTTGTTTTTCTAAAGATTCTGTAATACTTTGATGAAAAATTCAATTTGAAAACAACATGGAAGGCAACTTACGCCAGTTGCCAGAGAGTTACCTGTTAACATTGGCATTCCCTGGGGCAGTATACCGTACTTGGTCCTCTCCTCTTTCTCATCTACATCAACGACCTTCTGAATGCCTCTCAACCCCTCAAGCCAATTTTATTTGTTGATGATACAACCTTCATTTTCTCCAGTCCTAACCCTCTTATCCTGAATGACACAGTGAATACTGAACTAAATAAAGTCCATCTTTGTGTAACTGCTAACAAACTCTCCCTTAACATTGATAAAACTTTCTATATTTTGTTTAGTAATAAATCCAGTGATCAAATTAACCTAAAAACAACATTCAAATTAATAACAGAGTAGATGGTAAATTCCTTGTTCTCATTGATAAATTAAATTTCCAGTGCCATATACAAAATATAGCTAAAAAAAATTCTAAAACAGTTGGAATTCTTTCTAAAATCAGATCCAGTATCATGTACCTCACCCTGCCCTGGTAACACTCTATTACACTCTCATCTATCCTTATCTCACCTATGGTATCTGTGCCTGGGGTTCCCAAAATTATCTACAACCTCTAATTACTTAACACAAATCAGCAATTAGAACAATATTAAACTCAAGACCCAGACAACACTTGGCTCCCTTACTTAAATCTTTGTATATGTTAGATATTAAGTCACTACACATCCTCTCAAGTGAACTCTATACTGTATATAAAACTCTGAACTACAAAGCAAATCCGGACTTTAAATGCTTCCTAGAGGGTTGTAACAGAATCCATGGGCACCACACTAGAAACAAATATCTATTTAATATTCCAAGAGTGCAACTTAACCAAAGTAGAAATGCTCTGCAAATCAAGGGTCTGAAAATGAGGAATGACCTCCCCAATCACATCGTCCCTCTTTCTACCAGTCTAAATGACAAACTAAGTACAGTACTACCTAATCAACTCTATGTAACCTACCTTACTTCCTAAATGTCAATTACAATATGTTTTTCTCTTAATTAATATTTAATTTAACTGAACCTGTAAACAGCTGATATCTGTTGTGTAAAAATTAAAAAAAAAATGGATCTCTTCTGTTTATTTAGTGACAATTACTATCTATTGTTCTGTTTCCATTTCTGCTGCACCAATCACCATGTAATTACTGTATTGTCATTTGTTTATTTCTATACTTCAGTTCATTTTTGCTTCTGATCTCAATTACTGTAGTTTAAAGTCTTTAATTTTTAAACTTTTTCCACACCAGGCCCAAAATGCTGTGTGTTTTAATGGCTTTAGGCATAGTACTTGTCCTACCTAGAAATCCAACATTCTTCTTGTATTGTATTTTTCATATACTGCATGTACTTTTGCCTGAATAAAAAAAAATAATAATTATTATTATTTTTATATAGGGAAGGGAGTACCATCTCTGGCTGGAAGAAAGAGACCCTTAGCCTCGGAGGACCACACAACGCATTAGAGGGAATGTTTAGGTCCCCTCCAATACAGTTTCTGTGTGCTTTTCTCCTACCACCTCCTTCATTTTGATTTTTATTACTACTATTATTATTATTATTATTATTATTATTATTATTATTATTATTATTATTGAGACAGTACATCAAAATTGTGTTTCATATGTGGAGTAGATGATAACAGAAAGAAAACATACAGGACTGACAATGGTAGGAAACAATTAACTGATGCTTCAAAGACTTGTGATGATACAGATCTACATGGAACACTAGAAAAAGGAGTTGAAGTGGTTTATCATCTAGACTACTATAAGAAATATTACTTAAAGCCACAAACCATATTAAGGGCATCCAACATCCTTAAAGAGATCTCTCCCCTACTCTTTAGGCATTCGGTTAAAGCAGACAATGTGTGCACAGCAGACTCAAAAAGGATTTACATACATTATGGTTGTTCTTCAGGGACAGGGGATACCCAGAGAGGATTCTACAGGAAACAGCAGAGAAACTTTTGGGACTACAAAGGCAGGTCTTTCTGAGGAACAGACAGCACCTGATTTCCCCCTCTAGAATGGTGCTCCCTACAATGTACAGTATATTCCTACAGCTACAAGAACTTACAGGAAGGAGATAAACATGCTTTGGCAATGCATGGAGGGCACCTTTAGGGAACACACAGGATGGCAACATTTTCCCTCAGAATCTCCTTTGATAGCCTGGAAATGGGCAGCCTTCTTGCATGTTATGGTAGTAAGGGTATGTTTCCCTGCCCACCCATGGATTTCCTTGGTAGAAATGGGGATAACAGGAATAGAAACCCAACCTATTCTAAACCAACCTTCCTATCCTGATGTAGACCATAGGGTCTCCTTTGCTTTGACTGAAATGCATGCAGCTACAGGAGCTCCTAACATATATGAAACATTGATAGGAAAATGCTTGTTTCCTCTGTCAGGTCATTGACATATACAGTATAAGAGACAGGATGGGCACCAGAGCTGACCCTGGTACTTCACTTGTAACCTCTCAAATCTTATATCTCCAATCTAACTGTAACCCATTGCTTCCTTCCTTCCTGAGAGGTACTCTCTGACCCACCTTTGGACTCTTCCCCAATATACAAGTCTGCCTCTCTAACTTCTCTAACTTATATCAAGATTCCCCTCCCCCCCAACTTTCCACAGGTCGAGCTACTGTACTGACTCTCCCCAGGATGCAACCCCACAATAAGCTGACTAACTCCTGGAACCTATTTACTGTTAGGTGAATAGAGGTATTAGGTGATAGGAAATGCACCCAACCATTTCTGTCTTGCTCGAGATTCGAACCTGTAATTCCCGATCGTGAGTCAAGAACGAATCTGACTGTATGAGATACAGTGCTTCTTGTATTACTATTCAGGCTATTACAATATTCCTGTACTACTAGTATTCAGGATACTGGAATGAACAATTAAGGCTTAGATACTCACCATCTAGCCGCCCCTCCCCTACATCCAGCAACACTCTCCTCTCCATGGGTGAAGCACTAAGTGTCAATTTTACATTTAGCCAAGCCACTACTGGGAGATGCCTATTAGCAAACAGGGGTTAGCAAGTAGTCCAGTAGTATCTCAGTTTGCATGAAGGCTCTCTTTATAACTGCATGATCAGTGATGGCGATGGTTTAATTTCTTCAAATTTTACTTCATGCGCAAACTTCACAACAGAATACGGTTCATGAAGTTTGCATGAATATAACCCCCTTATGACTGCAAGAGCTGTGCATTGCACTGGGGTACATGATTACTGTTATTTATGATTGGAGATACACTATATACCAGAGTCGTCCTCTTTCCTCTTGGAGGTCAACACAATTCTTATCCTTATGTTGAATATCCCGGACTACACTGGGATAAGATCACAATAATAATTAGCGTCTTATGGTGATCCCTGGTGAAGCAAGAGCTAGACTCTGCCACGTCCCAAGGACAAAAATGTGTTCATAGATGTCTTCTTCTTAATGGTTACAAGCAGTTTGTGTAAAGATTTCCTCCTCTCGTTAACTGCTCGAGTGGTAATATTTGGGAGACGTGTCACAATGGCCCACTGACAAGGGTTGGTTGTTGTTGTTGTGTTGTCAGCTGATCGCTCCTGCTTCTGTAGCCAGGGTTTCGTTTTCTATGTTGGTTTGAGTTGTGTGAATGAGTCAAATGTGTTTTATTTATGTATTTATTTATTTATTTATTTATATACAAGAAGGTACATTGGATTTATGAGATGAGCGTACATGGCATTGATGTTTTCACATTCTTGCAAAGCCACTAACAAGCATAGCGTTTCGGGCAGGTCCTTAATCTGACATCATGTAAGATTACTAATGTACCATGTTCGTGATCTCTACCAAGAAGAGACAACGGCACTTCTCTGTACTATAGGGGAGATCATGACCCATATTTTGTAAATGTTTTGTACACTTCATGCAATTTTTGTGTAAAATTCAGGTAGAATCAGAATGCAATCTTTTGCCATACATACATGCCACAGCACATAGAAGGGATGCCAGAGCAGGGAAAGGCATGCTGTGGCAGGGCAAGACCTGCCATGCCACGAGTTATGCATACCACCGCACGTTGAAGTGTTATGAATAACACAGCACTTACAAGATTTGGTAGGAAATGTATATGTTTATCTCTCAGAATGTTCGGTAATACGTTCATTACTTGTGATGTGTATCTATGTATGTATTAACACGATGTACTGAACGGGGTGAGAATAGCTTGAGCTACCTCATCCCTTTGTGTGTATTTTACCTCAATAAACTTATTTCAATTTCAATTTTCAATACAAGATTTGGTGTAGTGGGTATGGCGTTTTGGGCAGTGACGTCGTCGTTGGCATGTTCGCGTTCCGGTCTTGTTCTCGCTCTCATGGTGGGTAGAGGGAATAGTTCCGTTATTTGAGTATTTATGGCTGGTTGTTCAACTTTTATGTGAATGGTTTCAAAAATTTGTAATCTTACATATTGGGTTTGTCTAATATGCAAGTATTTGTATTCAGCATTTATCTTGTTAGGGTGATGTCATGGGCTTCTCTCATGTGACTTTTAAGGGCACGTGATTGAAGTTGATAGGTCAAACGCCTCTTGAGCTTGGTCGACCTCATACCTATGTACTTAGATTGAAGGTTATATCCTTCATGGGGATATGCATGTACACCACATTCAACTGCTGTAAAGGGTTCTCAGGTGGCTTCGGGCTGTTTTTAATGAGGTCTGTGGTCTTCTTTGTTTTCTAGTATATGATGATGTCTATGTTTTGGTTAGGGGTTGTGCATTTTACTCCTTTACTGATTATTTCTTTCATTATTCTTTCTTATATTCACTGTGCATGGTGGATTTGTAATTAAATTTTATTGGAAGTGTTATGGTTTCTGTTCTTGGTTCAGGGTTGTACCACCGGTCCAAGAGTCGTCTTATAGTAGGTAGTGTTTATCTCGTGGTTACTATAGCCATTGTTCGCCAGTACTTGAGTTATCCTTTCAAACTCCCTACTCACGTTGTTCCATTCGAAGCAGTGGGTAATGGCTCGACGAATATAAACGTTGAGGACACTAGCTTTATATTTTTTAATATAAAGCCAGTGTTCTCAACGCTTATATTCGTTGAGCCCTTAAATGAATTTAATTAAATCGCGAAGAAATGAACACGTGATGAATAACATGACAATATAGAAACTTTATAACTATGAAGGAAAAATGTAATAATAAATTACTGAAGCAATTTCGTGTCAATCAATACTTCATCACAAGTACCTGTATATCATGATTTATTCATTAACAAGAAAGTGCTTTTAACAAGAAATCAACAAGAAATGTTTTACTTTTCCTTCGTGTTATACATTGTCATATAATTGCATATATGTTCAGTGACTAAATCGAGTCCTTGAAGGCGAGATCAATTGTGAACGCCACATAGCGCACAAGTACAAAATCGCTCAAAATACTTTAACACAAAAGACAGGTGAAGACAGGCGTGTGGCTTCTAACTTTGTTTTTATTATTTAATATTACATGTTAGGCGTTTACCTTTAATATATATTATTATATACAAGTATAACTATCACATAGTAAATGTAATAGGAGTTTACCAAAAAACTGGCTACAGTCTAGTGTTTAGTGCGTTCGATCATGTTTGTGGGCCTTTAGATGTGTATTGTTTATGCTAGCGGGCATCGTTCTTATAAAGCCCGGATTATATCCATCACATCACTGAACTTCATTTAATAACTATATGTCTATTAACTATAAGACTTTTAACTGTTAATAGCATTATATATGTAGTTATACTATGACCAATCACAAATTTTGTGTCCGAAATGGTGAAAATGTGTTCGATCCGTCTACTGTACTAAGTATAAATAAATAACAAATAAATTTTTATTCAGGAAAAGTACATACATAGTTGATTTACAAACATAATGTTGGATTTATATATAGAGCTAGTACATACAATACCTAAAGCCACTAATACTCATAGCGTTTTGGGCAAATACGCATAGCGTTTCGGGCAAGTGACTAGTATCCGCTCACAGTCAGCTGTTGTCACATTGAGTCCAATCAGCTGATGCTACGGTCACTGTTGTGATCGTCGTCGCCCCTCAACCAACAACAACAACTTGGTTGTTGTCACAGTCATCCCACTGTAGCTAGAAGCTAGTACAACAGTTAACTGGTGGTAGTCCACAGTCTGGTTGTGTTATCTACAGCTGGAGATACGGTCAGCTTGTGTTAATACGAGCAAGGCGCTGCTGGTTGGTCTGGAGACAATGACAGACCAGAAGGGACTTGGCACCCTAAGTCAAGAATAAAGTATCAGCACTCTTGAGTTTAGAGCTGGTGATAATGCAGTGGAGGCTACTAGTGGTGTCAGCAGGGTTGTGTGTTGTGTTGGGAGACGTCTCCACCTTGGACGGCCAAGCCAAGACTGGCCAGTTCTCGGACAATGGTAAAAAGAATGCCACGACAGTACCCGGGCCAGGGCAGAGTGGCGTCAAGCCCATGGCTGTTCGAGATGAAGCCGAGTTGAAGGTTTGCTCTTCGTGTATTTCGTTTTTGACGTATACTGTGCATTGTTGTATGATCATTTGTGTGTGCTGGCTTGTATATTATATAACATCTTTATGCCATATTTAATGTAGGGATGCCTTTTTTTTTCTATGCAGTACATTTGCACAAATTTTTTGGCTCACAATGCAGATATGAGCCTGACACATTGTATAACCTTGATTTTGTAGATATTGTACTACAGTCATACAATATGGCATAATAATAATAATAATAATGAGAAAATCTGTAGGAGCTGTGATGAGGGTTCAAATCTATGCTGTAGGTGTTCACACGCTTTAGTCAACTAGGCCACAAACACCCGCCACATAGGTTTGAACCCTCATCACGGCTCCTACGGATTTTCTCATTGACACATCACATTAGTGTGATTACTCTGTGTAATAATAATAATAATTATTGTATTTAAAAAAAATATTCAAAAGAATAATATACTGTGGATTGGATTAATGAGTGTTACAATGTATAGTATAATTAATGAAGAAACTAATACTCAAAACATTTAAGAAATTCATTAGGGTGATATGAAGATGTGATGAAACAATACTTAACAGGAAGTAAGCAAACATAAACATAGTTCAAGGTATTTAGTAAATGATATACTGTACAGTGGTATTTTAGTTTTCAAATTTAATTCGTTCCCAGAGACAATTCGAAAACCGAAATGAATTTTTCCATAAAAAATAATGTAAATTGAATTACTGTAATCCGTTCCACACTCCCAAAAATATTAACTAAAAAATGCACTTTATACAGAATAATACTCATAGGTACCTTACCTTTATTGAGGACTCTTGTTCACATATGGAAGACAGAAAAAGGGGAGGAAGAGAGGTGTTAGTGTTTGGAAGGGGAGTCCCCCTTCCATTATAACATAAGCAGTGATGACATTTCTAGGGTACTCTCTTACGTTTTGCAGGCATACCACTAAGACCTGGCTGTGGCTCACTGCTTGCTTGTCTTACTAAGAATCTGTCTATAGACACTTGTTTTTCCCTAAGTTTTAACACTTGTTTGTAGTGAGACTCACTATTAATGATCTTGTTTTTCCTCTATCATCATCCTCACAACTATTTTCTTAGGTTGAACTTTACCATTGACATTTTTGGAACCCATGGCATGATATATAATAACTTTTATGTTCAGAAACCAAAAAAACACAAAAACAATGAAATTCTTCACAAAGAATTCAAATGCGATATCACTAGGCGGGAGACACTGGTAAACTGAAGCACGCTATGTACTCGGTCAGTTATATGTGTATTGACAAACTCGTGCAATGTAAACTTCGAGTACTGAGTCAAATTTTTTGAAGAAATTGAGCTTGAGAACTGAAAAATTTGAAAACGGGGGCATTCGAAAACTGAGGTTCCACTTTACAACTTTTAAAGAAGGCATAATGTAAACAAAGCTAGGAGAAAATGATAATGAGTTATGGGGTAATACATCGCTAATTCTAGCTACAACACTGCTTTTATTACAGAATCCTGGTCACTAAATCCTAAATGTGAATAATTTTCCACATGTTCATTTTCTAAAGGAACACGAGGTCCTGTTTCATGATGCGTCGATGCACCAAACCGAGGCTGTGTGCTGTGGATGTCTGCCTCGCATTATGAACGTTGTAGCCAGCATTGGGTTACAATGTTCATAATGCAAAACATCCACAGTACACATCGGAACCATGCACATAGTCTTTAGCACTGTTAGGATCTTCTTTGATACCATTATTAAATATTTGCAGATGTACTTGTTTTTATCATTATTAAGTGATGTTGTGGACATAAGCTACGTATGTACATCATTGGGAGTGTGAGACTAATCTCTCAGTAAAGAGAAACTGAAGTTAGTGTCACAAATGTAAACGGGAAGATACATTGCACTGTATTACAGTATTTACTATTTATTTACATACAGTATTGCACTGTATGTATTTAGTAGTATTCCAAGAGTGTGGGAATACTACTAAAACAAGAATTAAGTATAAAGTAGATTTTTGGTATAAATACTGTACATTATTGTGCCTTATATATATGATAGATTAATTTCTACAGGATGCTGATGCCAAAGGCTTCCTTCCCACATCTTCAGTGAGAACAGTGCCTATGACCACCACCACCACCACCACAGAGGCTCCACAGATCAGTCTTCATGTCGGGAATAACACCATCAGCAATGTTTGCAACATTACCTCTGAGGATTACAGCAAGTTAACCTCCTTTTACCCTCAGCACTGCACCAAGGATGATGGGGAGCCAGAGGGACAAGACACAGATGGGTACAATACTTAAATGCTCATCAGTAATTAATTTTAATAAATATTTTTGAGGGTTGTTTTCCAGAAATATATTGTTAAGCTACAGTTTTGTGAGAAAAATGGCAATGGAAAGTTCCACAGCTGAGGAAAACATGAGTTCGATATTTTTTTATGTAACATAAAAATCTTTATAACCCCTTCTAATATGTCATATGATGTGAGAGCTCACTTTCCTCAAGTTTTTCATAATATACCATAACAAAAGATAAATTTGCGATTACTGCTTCAGGAGAAAGTCAAGGAGGTTTCCTGTTGCTGTAGAAAAAAAATTACCTGTATACATAGCGAGAACCCCCCCCCCCCCTCCCCCACTTCATTAGGCACTTTCAGCTTAGACATGTCTTGGTGTTTGTTTTTTCAATAGATTATTCTCTGTATCAACAATGGCACAGGTTACAGTCTCTCCTCGAGCCCTGTATGATTTCTGCCTAACACTTAGGTTGGAGTTTAACAGTCTGAAGGAGCAATGAAGCTTCTAATGGAGGTAAGGAGCTGACCATTGATGTGAGGCAGGAGGATATATAGCAAGAAAGCTGGAAAGTTGTGGGCAAAAGGAAAAATAGGCTATTTCCCTGTAAGGTGGGGCATGTATTTGAGTCTTCAACAGCATGAGTTCCTTTGTGTGAGAGAAGAGTCTCACACAGTAGAAGAGCTATAGATAGCACTTAATTAATTCAATAAGAGACTACAAGGATATTAATATGCAGGCAGAAACTAAACAGCATTCATTTGATAATAATGGAAGTTTTTAAGTCAGAGAGAGACAACAAAACATGACTTTTAGCTATCCATGAATTCACTCTTATTGGAAGCTATTCCAATGGTTAGTGTTAGTGTAAAGACACAGTACTGTATTATAGAAGCAGATCACTTCCCAACAATGTGTCGGTGTGATATGGAGTTGATGCTTTACTGCAGAGTTGCTGTTGATGTTGAGGCTGCCAATGAAACCCAACCATGCCACACTAGTGTTGACCTCCCTGAAGTAGGTGCTGCGGAGCAAGAACACCTCTCGTCCCTCTCCATATTTCTCATACTCTGCGTACTTGGTAAGTGCAATCATTATTTGTAATTAGCTGGTCATCAGCTTGTATGTAGTCACTATACAAGTTGGCAAAATGGAATTTTCTGTGCATAAATATTAGCTTGACTTTTAATATTTTTGGATGTGCAGCACAGACGCAAATTAGCTTTTAGTGTACTAAAATAAACACAGCTAGTGTCTGTGATGCAATGGCACCTTGCCATTCTGATACCCTACGGATTGGCAGCCTCAATGCTATGTTCCATGAACTATGAAGTGACCCAGCAAAAAAAAGTGTTTAATTACATTAAATGATTTATTTCCTTCTGGATATGAGCCCCACACTATTACTGCATACTCTGATTTTGGTTTTGTGTGTGTCAAACATTATTTAACATACGCTAACTCATTTTATGTGTGTAAGCAATTCTAAAATTAACCAGAATAACATATTCCTCTCTAACTATGCCCTTGAAATACAGTATAGATAGACATTGTGGTCAATCTTTTGTTGATATTGTTTACGATTAGTACTTACAGAATTATTTCTCTACTGTTTGGTATATTTTTTCAGCTGTGTGTGTGATACTGATCTTCTTTCTCCTGAAGACTAAGCTGAACTACCTCCCAGAGAGTGTGGCCTGTGTTATAGTTGGTGAGTTACAATCCTAAGCTTTGGAGCTTATCATCGGAAGAGCTCTGCAGTATATTTCAGGATTTAAAAAGGTTTTAATATTTGTAATTTTTGTCATTTTTGTGTGCTTGGTGCTATGATTTTTTAATGTTATACAAGGCATTAATGTGTGTGTGTGTGTGTGTGTGTGTGTGTGTGCACACTCTTTAGAACTGGACTTGTAAATTTTTCTTTCACTGATCTTCAGACTACCTGATGGCTATACTTATCCACTTATGCAGGACCACTACTCTACTCTCACACAAAGGAACTCATGTTGTTGAAGACTCACATACATGCCCCACTTTACAGGGAAAAAGCCATTCAAATAGCTTTAGAACATGCTCTTGCTGAGCCAATAAGCATATCATCATACTACATTATAAATATTTGAGAACTGCTATATAAACCTTTGCAACAAAAGTGCCATTGTGATGAAGTACAGGCATACCTCAATTTAAGAGTTTAATTGGTTCCTGGAGATGCCTCGTATTCCGAAAACTCGCATTCCGAAGCTAATTTCCCCATAAGAAATAAAGGGAAATGAATTAAATCCATTCCTGACTACCCCAAAAACCCCACATCAAACTAAATTTTTATACCTAATTCATCTAAATAAACCTACAAAACTATGTTCAAGTTATTACTTACCTTGCTGTTGAATGCTGTAGGCGTCTGGAAGATGGTGAGGAGGTGGGAGGAAGAGAGGAGTTACTGTTTGGAAGGGGAGTCCCCTTCCATTATCACATCAGGCAGTGAGGACTTCACTGGTATGCACACTCTGGCACATTTTGCCTGCATACCACTAGGACTTGCTTGTTTTACTAAGAATTTGTCTAATGACACTTGTTTTTCCCTACATTTTAACACTTGTCTGTAGTAAGACATCACATTATCATTTAAAAGGTCAATGCAACGGCCTGCTACAGCTTTATCTGGGTGAGTTTTTTCAACAAAACTTTGCAGTTCTTCCCATACTTCACACATTTTCTTAATCAAGAAGGGACATCCTTTACTGCCTCTACTCACAGCTATTTTCTTAGGTTGAACCTTACCAATGGGTTTCTTGAGACCCATGGCAAGATATATAATGACAACTTTTATGCTCAAATGGCCAAAAAAACGATAAAAAACTGTAAATCCTTGTGAAGAATTCAGGTGGGATAGTCACTGGACACGAGACACTGGTAAACTGAGGCGCGATCGCCATGCCACCACGCGCCAGTCGGCCTGTACACGTATCAACAAACTCGCGTCCCGAGGTAACCCTCGCCTTCCGAGACATATTTTTGGAGTAAATTCTGCTCGTCTTCCGAAAAACTCGCATACAGGGACACTCGCATTCCGAGGTACCACTGTACACCTTTTCACAAAAGTTAAAACTTTAATGCAAACACCGAGTGCCAAATCATGTAGGCATATCAGGTAATGATATTGCAAATGAAGCTGCAAAAACTACAACTAAAAGGAGGAATATAAACATTAACATACCACAGTCAAGCACAGTTAAAACAATTAAGAGTTAAGGCAATGCAGAAGATGTACAGTGATCGTAATGCAGCAGTTGCAGTGTAAAGACCTGGAGGATTGTACAAGAGTTTTAACTATGAACTGATTGTTTTATTGAGAGGGCACAATGGAAGAAAATAGCTGCACATGCACCATATCAAGCTTGGATATCCATATGCATGAGAAATAAGCTTCCAGGTTCCAGAGAACCTGGAAGGTTCTCCACAATGTCAACGATGTGGAGAAATGTAAGAAAGATCACTGGAACATTATCTAGCACAGTGCATTTACAAATTAAATCAGATTACCACTGATACTTAAAAATGCAATTGTAAAATACATGAACATAAACATACTGAAGTCAACATAAGAGTCAAACACTCGTCCACTGCTTAGGTAATATTGACATAAGTACAGGGTGTCCCTCAACTATGAGCAGGTTACATTGTGAAAAGGTGTTTGTAAAGCATTTGTTCAGAACATGGAACAAGATTTCTCACAAGCACAATGCTGTTAATGAGGGATGCATTCCTGGACCACTACATGTATGTGTGTGAATTGAAGCCCAAAAACTGGGACATGGGAGGCTGTTTTCATGGGCGAGTGTTTGTATAATGGAGGACTCCCCCCTGTAACACATAACAGGCCAGCCTGAGGTTAAGGCCTGCACAAAAAAATTCCAGCAGAAAAAAAGTAGATCATTGTGGGTCATGGAGGCCTCATGTGATTCATAAGGCTTGGTTGTACCAGCATGTAATCTATAGGAAGTTACAGAGAGATCACCAGAATAGTGCATTTCATTGCATTCAGCGAATGATTTGCAAGATATTCATATACAGGTATTGTGATGAGAAACATTGCATGAACTGTACTGTAATTGTAATCATTTTGTAAATATACCATAAAGGTTTTTCATTGTGTTGGCAGGTGGTGTGATTGGTATGGTGCTGAAGATTTTGTACAGCCAACATATAGCAAACTGGCAGGTAAAATCGATTTCTTTACTATTTCATTATTTATAATTTTATTACTGTAATTGTTTTATTACTGAACAGTATTGTATTCCTGTTGTCTTGAAGTAGTGATATACCCTTATAGGAAAATGCTTCATATTATTTGAATACAGTAGAATCATGATTCTATGGAGATTAGTACTTTTAGACCTGTAAAAATGGACCAGTCAATACAAGTTAGTGTATGTACTGTACTGTGGCGGTGATGGTTTGCCTCGTCTCCTCATAGTACCGTACCTAATTTACTCCAAGCAGTTGCTTGTTTTGTTCTACTTATGCTTTCTGGTGGATTTGTTCTCAGTCTAGAGGTGATATTTGATTTTCAAGCCTTCCCACATCTCTTAGATAAAGCCAGATATTATTGCTATCTCCTGGTAAGGAGTAGTGGGCCTTTGCCAAGTGCACCAGGCAAAGGCCAGTGCTTAATTCAGAGAACATACCAGAAAAGGGCATCTCATTGCATTCAGTGCTTGATATGTTAATAATATTTCATTGGAGAAGGATAACTTTCCTCATAAATTAAAAATCTAAAAATGTTGTTTTGCGTACAGTATAACCTAGATTATTGCCTATTGCTATGAAGCAGGAATTGGACTTTTCTGTTAAGGTTGTTTTTCTAAAAAAAAAAAAAGTCTTAAAATTATAAAATTGGTATTTGAAACCTGTTATAAATGACAAAAAAAAGTGGAACTATTTAGAAAGCTACATATACTGTATGTTGATGTGCTGCATACCTTTGAATTGTGAAGGTTGATCTGAAGATTATTAAAGTATTAATACAGTACACGTATACAAGGAAATAATCATTTTCTTGGAATCAGAAAATAGTACTGTAGTTAAAATTAAAGTCACAAGCTTGCTTTTACTCAATTATAACAGTAATTTTAGCAGCGAGAAATCATGTTATCATAATGTAGTATTTCATTTGCTCCATTACTTTTATTAATTATTACATTCATTTTGATGTAACAGAAGGAGGAAACGTTCTCTCCCACGGTGTTCTTCTTGGTCATCCTTCCCCCCATTATATTTGAGTCGGGCTACAATCTTCACAAGGTAAGTAAATGTCCCCATTCAAATTTAACTTACATCCAACTTTCCAATAGAATTATATAAATAAATAATAATAATAAGTAAATGTTTATTCAGGTAAAAGTAAATACATAAAAGATGAGTTACAAACAAAATGTTGGATTTCTAGATACAGCTAGTACATACTATGCATGAAGACACTAATGCGTACAGCATTTTGGGCAATTGATTGTCTTAGACGTGATAAATTATGAAAGCTGTTCCTGAGCTGTTACATTCACCTGCACATGAACCCACAAAATGCATCCAAATATAAAGTCCAGATATTTTTCAGTTCCTCCTGCTGGATCAGGACCTTATCTCATTTATGGGCCTGGCCTCCTTCGGGTCTGCATCTGCCTTTTGGCTTTGGTATAAGGCCCTTGATTCTTTCTGGAAATCCTCTACTTTCTTTAAGGGGCTTGGCAAGGATTCTCTTGAACCTAGACACTTGAATGGCAGGAAGTGAGTTCAGCCTTTCAGGTGGTCTTGGGCAGTGTTTTTTTGTTTTGTTTTTATCTTTGCACTACTTGAGAACTACTTGTTTGCTCCAGAGCTTCCCAAGGATGTAGGCAAGTGGCAGCTCCATGTTCAGCTGCCAGTGTTCTTTGGAGTTTTTATTGCGGAGAATCACAGGACTCGTTCCCATTTACCGGATGTTCTGGCATTTGTCCCCGATATTGTGACAGATGACAGGAACCAAAGAGAACTACTCCTTCCATCTGGTTGAGACACTGAACCATGGGTGAACAGTCCAAATGGAAACAAAGCCCTGAGCCTGAGATAATCTGAATCCTCTGCAGTGCATGCCACATGGCTGCAAATTCCCACACTGTAGTACTTTATGTGCTGAATGAAGGGGGAGGAGACCAGTGGCCCTGGCCAGCTTGGCGAGCACTGGTCACAAAGCCTCAACCCAGAGCTGAGGCATCAGTGAAGACACCAGGGAACCGAACCTTAAAAAGCCTGAAGATAAAGTCGGCGGTGCAGCAGCCAGTGAAAGGCCAATGAGGCCTGCACCCAATAATCACGGCAACGGCAAAAGGGGCTGCAGAGATAGATACCAGAACAACCATCAAAGCCAAATTCTACTTAGGGGGAAAACAACGAAGCTAAAATTCAGGCTTTGCATAACTGTTCGAGCAATTGCCGAGTCACCTGGCACTGACTCTGCGCCATCAGACAGTGGTGTTCCAGTCGGGTCAAGGCCCCCAGAGGAAGGGGTAAACGAAACCAACCAAGAATCCCACATGAACCCCAGCCAAGTCCAATCGTGGAATGGAACCAGCTAGGAATTCGTACAGCTCACCAGGACCCCAACCCTGGCAAGCTGGGAAAGAACCAGATCCCTGGCTAGTAGACACGTGGAACCCACCAGGAACCCACACCAGCCAGTTATCAAGGTCATAAGCCAGTCACTAGAAAATGGAGAAATGACTTTCACCATTTTCTGATGTGTGGGTACCCAGGTAGCTAAAACAAAGGAGCCACTAGGGAACCACCAGAAAGAGATATTTCATTACATTCATCACTGGTTTTTGTTACCTGATTACAATAATGCACTTGTATTATAATGCGTAATGTGATGTAATTTGTGCTTTGTCTTACCCAGGGCAACTTCTTTCAAAACATTGGATCCATAGTTGTGTTTGCAGTGATGGGCACATTGATCTCCGCACTGATTGTTGGCGGAGGGGTTTATCTCTTGGGACAGGTAAGCTCATGTTAATATTAAATTAAGTATAAAAATCTGTTTTGAGTATATTTATGGAGCCATTACAATCATCTGAATATATATATTGTAAATTTAAGTCATTTTCTTTTTCTCTATAAATTACACATGGATTTTCTGGTGTGAAACGTAATATTTCTCCTCTGTATTGCTAACTAGTTAATGATAATATAATTTTGTAACAGGTATATTTAGTTTCAGTTCACTTTTGTGGTCTATATGAGTGCATGTTTTTACCTGTGCACATTGCTTATTAACCGCAGGCTGATGTAGTATACCAACTAAGTTTTGTGGAGAGCTTTGCCTTTGGCTCTCTTATATCAGCTGTGGATCCTGTGGCAACATTAGCCATCTTCCATGCCCTAAATGTGGACCAAGTGCTCTACATGCTGGTGTTTGGGGAAAGTATCCTCAATGATGCTGTCTCCATCGTTCTCACCAGGTGAAGCATTATAATGATTTGTTCATCATGATTATGCTTATGTTTATGAAGAGTATGCAGCAGATGGTTACAACAGCAGGAGCTTTGCGTGGTTTCTCGGGGAATGTAGAGTACAGTATAGTAAACCAATTTTAGAGGGATCAATTTATGAAGTTCAGTGTGTTAATGTGGAGCTGCAGGGTAAAGTGTGTGAGCAATTGTATGTCAAACTGACACCTTCACCATTGAAAAAGTATAACGTTATTGGGATGTGTTTGGCCTTGGACACCAGGATGTGCTTAGCCTCGGAAGCCAGTGCGCTTGGCTGTGATTCCGGGGCGTGCTTGGCTTCAAAGGCCAGGGTGTAATTGATTTTAAAGGCCGAGGCATGCTTGGCTTCAAAGCCAGGGCATGCTCAGAAATAGACATCAGGGTCCTGCTTGGTTTCAGACATTGGGGCATGCTCGGCTTCGGACATCAGGGTGTGCTTGGCTTCAGACGTCGGGGTGTAATTACCTGAGTGCAGTTACAGGATTAGAGCTATGCTCATGTTGTCCCATCTTCCCAGTGCTTTTGTCATATGACACTTTGAAACTACTGATGGATTTGGCATCCTCTACCTTCTCACATAACGTGTTCAAACCATCTACTACTCCATTTGCAAAAGAGAATTTTTTAATATTTTCCAGCACCTTTGTGTCCTTACCCGAAGTCTGTGACCTCTTGTTCTTGAAGCTGCAGGTTTCAAGAATTCGTCTTTGTTAATTTTAAGGATTCCTATTATTATTTTGTGTGGATTGATTCTGTCACACCTTTTTCTTCTATCTTCTAGCTTTGGCATATTTAACACCTCTAGCTTCTCCTTGTAACTCTTGTTTTTCAGTTCCAGAAGCCACTCTGTGGAAGGTCTTTGCACTTTTTCTAGTTTATTGATGTGCTTCTTGAGATAAGGGCACCATATAACCACAGTATAGTCCAGTTTTGATCTCACAAGTGTTGAACAGTTTTTTTACCATTTTACCATCCATATATTTAAAAGCAATTCTGAAATTGGAAAGTGTAGCACATGTTCCTCACACAATGTCCTTTATCTGGTCCTGTGTGAGTCTGCTATTCATAATCACCCCTAGATCTCTTTCTTTGTCAGGGTTCTTTAGTGTCTTTCCACATGTGTAGGTTGTGTGTGGCTTATTTTCTCCTAATCCACATTCCATAATATTGCATTTATTCACATTCAGTTCCATTTGCCAAATGTTGCTCCATACATTTGTTTTGTCCAGGTCATCTTGAATGGCATGACAATCATCTAAGTCTCTTATTTTGCCTAGTAGCTTAGCATCATCAGTAAACATGTTCATATAGTTCTGTATTCCTTCTGGTAGATTGTTCATATAGGTGATCAACATTACTGGCACAAGAACTGAACCCTGTGGTACTCCACTGGTAACACTTCTGTGTGATACATTACTTCTGATTACCACCCTCATCTTTGTCAGAAAATTTTCATCCATTGTCAGCAGTCTGCCTGTAATGCCTCCAGCATGTTCCAGAACAACCTCTTGTGTGGGGCTCTGTTAAAAGCCCTTACTTTTTATTTTTATTTAATTCCAAATAAACACGGTGAACCCAACCATCTCTTTCCTATAAAATCTCTGTGGCTTTATCATAGAAACCAAGTAGAGATGTTACAAAGAATCTTCCTGTTCGAAAACCATACTGTCTGTCTGTCTGTTATTGTGCAAACAATGAGTCACAACATGGCTAAAAATATGATGACCAAACAACACATCAGAAGATGGAGAAGCGAGGACGTTTCAGTCCGTCCTAAACCATTATCAAGTTGTATGTATATGTTATTGTATTGGCTTCAGACATTGGGGCGTGCTTGGCTTCGGACAGTAGGGCACACTTGGCCTCGGGCAGTAGAGCACACTTGGCCTTGGACACCTTAGCTTCCTTTTCCTTCAACAACGGGGTGTACTTTGCCTGAGTCACAGAGATGTGCTTGCAGTTGCTTAGAATATGAGTAGTGGATGAGTGGAATGTGAGAGGAATAGATGAAGATTATAGTACATTTAAATGATGTGCTTTTCATAATAAATTTCAAATTAAGGCATGTGAAATGAAATTAAAAGGTAATGAATTATTAAAGCTGAATGAAAGATAAGGTAAAAGTAGCATCACCTTGGATTGTAGAAGCTGAAAATGGTTAGTGATTAAATGATGCATTAAATGATGCATTGTATATAGATGGACACAATACTATTGATCACTTGCAAACACTAGCACCTCTCATCAACTCATCAAACTACTTTTTCTTCCTCATTAAATTCATCCCTTGGTGAATTCATTCCCCAAAACATATTCATCATCTTTTCATACATTTGTTTACCTTCTCTCAAAGCATCTTGTTATTTGCTCTACATATTTTATCAAAACATTTTCTATATCCTCATTTAAATCATTTCTTCCACTCCAATTACCCACCTGGAGTCCGCCAAACCTCAGGTATCATCGGGAATGGAACCTAGCCTCACATCATTCATAACATTTTTGTCTTTCATAATTTTTCTTGAACTACAACTATCATTTCTGCCTTTATTGCTGTGTGTGTACATAACATCAATACAATTTACAGTATTAAAATTTATTAATAATAATAATTTATATTACTGTATAAATTGCATTAAAGATGAGTTGATTTTATAATCTGGTGGAGATTAGTTGTGCTTCGATGGTACATATAATTATAATTTGTATCAAGTTTATTGCAGTAAGATTAGATAAAGTAGTTACTAAGTAACAACATTTAATGGCAATAACATGGTTACCTCTGATATTTTTGTTTTCAGTGGTAATCAATCCAGTTCAACTGCCTCCGTATCCGATTCAAAAGGGGCAACCCCCTACCGAATCGGGTCAATACATAATGTTTGCACCCACCAATAATTCTTATATACAGGAGTTAGGACTTTGATATGAAATTGGTTATCAATAATTGCTCTATTATATGCAATATTCAAATTTATAAATACATACTGTTATAAATCAACTTTCTGATAATTTTTGTTTAATATAGATGATTAATACAAAAAAATTTACTTGAATTTACCCGAGGGTCACTAACACACTAGTGACCTTGACGAGGGCGGGAAGCCAGCAGCTTCCCAAAGATCCCCCTATTTGTCCTGTTGATTTTTTCAACCTAAATATATTTTAAAGTTCAACATAGTTTTGGCATTTGTTGCTTCGGCAGGTATGCGGTTCCATGGGTTAATAACCCTATGAGTGAAAAAGCATCTCCTGTTTTCTGTTCTACATTGTGGTTTGTTGAGCTTGAAACTGTTGCTCCTTGTTTGTGTTACATCTGACATTTTGAAGAAATTGTCTGGCTCAATATCCTCCAAATTGTTCAGTATTTTAAAAGTTTTGATGCGATCATCCCTGTCGTGTCTGGTTTACTGTGATGTTCGCCATGTGGCCCTCGGCTGTTCCTGGTATGAGAGGTGACTTAGTTATGGAACTAGTATTGTTGTACTGTACTTAGTATTGTTGCCCGGTGTTGAACATTCTTCAAAGAAGCTATGTCTTTCTGAAGATGAGCCATGCTTGGATACAAGAACTCAAGTAAACACCAGAGATTTATACAGTTGAACAATACTTCTTTTTCCTTAAAGACAAAGGTACACTTGATTATTCCTGATGTGTTATAATGGATTTGTATGTGCCCAAATGTGCTTCATTGTTATTAATGACGGTATTTCACTAAACTACTCTCCCATCAGTTTATTTACTCGGCCTTTAAATACATACTGTCATATGTATTTAAAGTACATATGACAGCACTAATGGCAATCTTGTCGTTAGTTTGTGAAGGTAAATCGCAAACATTTTCATGCATTATAGTGGATGTAAGCCCATTGATTGTTTTCCTTGAAGGAATGGGGTTGCCTTGGGTCTTGGCAGGTCAAACAAAATTCCTTATGGAACAAAATGCCTCACCTCATATAGTTCATTTAAGTGAGGACACACTGTATACTGTATATATTTTAAAGTCATAAAGAAACAACACAATGCTGCATTATTTTCACATGTATTTTAAAACCTTCACTAGTCTCCCATTCACTTTAATGAATTCTGCAATTCTCTTTGTATATTCTTGTATGCTTGTTCTTGTCCTATAAGATAATGTTCCAGAGTGTATTACCAAAATATAACCACCACCTTGACATCTCTGCTGATGTTCCACAGTCTCCTAGAGTTATTCCTATTCTTTTTAGCAATTTTATTTACACAGTTCAATTTTATTTACACTGCGGTAACCTGTGTATCTGGAAAAAAAAAAACATTTCCTTACTGCACTGCTTCAAACGAGATGCCATACAAAGGATATTCTTTAAGTTACACCTAAAATATTATTATTTATTATCCTTAGAATACCAATAGGAATGTTTTTTATTTTGCTTTATTTCAGTACCATCATTGAAATGGCATCTCCAGCTATGGCATCCATGGGATCTGGAGAAGCAGTTCTTTACACAATCTGGAGATTCTGTGTTATGTTCTTTGCGTCAGCGGGTATTGGCGTAGCCTTTGCTCTGCTGAGTGCTCTGACCCTCAAGCACGTTCCTCTGAGGGAGTACACCTCCCTCGAACTCTGCATCATGATCGTCTTCATTTATGCTCCGTACACCCTTGCAGAGGGCATACATTTGTCAGGTAATACAATATGTAGTATGTCTAATTATCTACACTAATACCTGCTAAACACAACCATATCAGCTGAGAGTTTGGAATAAACGAATTCTGATAGTTCTTTACAAGAATTTAGTTTTTCTGAGCTGGCCTCCTTGGTTACTTTCTGAGTGAGGGTCCGCATACACTAGAAAGTTTTCTTTTGCAAACAGAGTGGTAGACAGAGCAAGTTAAGTGAGGTGGTGGTGGAGGCCAAAACTGTCAGTAGTTTCAAAGTGACAAAGAGTACTGGGAAGACGGGACACCACGAGTGTAGCTCTCATTTAGTAACTACACTTGGGTAATTACTACAGAGGCCAGGTGCCAGGCACTCTATGACTTTGTCCCACCATGGCATGTATCTTTTCAAACAGTCATGCAAAGTGATTGGGAGGAGAACCAGAGGAGAATATCCTTGGTCTTCTGCTAAATCAGTCACACTCTGTAAGACAAAAGATCTGAAACAAGCTGAACACCCAATTCCTAACAATAATTTTGTCAACAGGTAACTCCACTGGTGACACTCCTTAGTGGAGTACTACAGGGTTCAGTTCTAGCATCAGTAATGTTCATTGTCTGTATAAGTGATCAATAGTCTGGGTGTTGAGGAAATACTACTAATAATTGACATCATTCTCCTAAGTACAGTACTGTGAATTTTAGTCTGCCACTGACTTTCCAGATTAGTATTCAAAAAAAGGTTGTCGATTCCCAGAATTTGGTTGCTAAATTAGACATTTGATGATACAAATAAAGCTTATTTTCTTTAAAGAAATTTCCCCCTTTACAGGTATAATGGCGATCTTGTTCAATGGAATTGTGATGTCGCACTACACCCATTTCAACCTGTCACCAGTGATGCAGATAACTATGCAGCATCTTATGAGAACATTGGCCCTTATTGCTGAATGTACAGTTTTCATATACCTGGGGCTAGCACTTTTCAGCTTTAGACACCAGGTTAGTTTTTAAACTTTCAGATGAGTTGACTATAGCAACAAATTGTCTGATACCTTCGTTTTAAAATGTTAAAAGAATTATAAAGTTCATAGAGTACAGTATAAACATGTTGATTCTCCACATCATATAGTATTTGCAGTTTATAATGTACATATATTTTTGAACTCGGACGTATATTTGGGGACAAATGTGCGTATATTTATACTTGATCATCAACAACACCTGGAAGCCACCCACCAATTACCAGTCAGCTTTCTTTGGGGTCCTAACTAAGAGTGTCTGATGTGGAGCTAAAGGAAATAAAAATGTGAAGTTTACAAGGGTCTTCTAAGAGCAAGATGGAGATTAAGGGAAAATAATTAGGACTTGGCAATGAATGGATATCATTGAAGATAGGGATATTAGGAAATACATAAGAGAGCAAAGATAATGACAGGAAGTAACTGCCCATCAAGGTCAGGGAATGCAATTGACTGACAACCGAGTCAAGGGATCTGCAGGGCCGAACAAGGCTGCATGGAGGGTTATTCATACAAAGATAAAGACGTATATGAGGGGGGGAGGGGGGGGGGGAGGGATGCGAGGAAAAACACTATAAAGTGAGCAGTGAAAAATTTAAGAGGTGTGTATGTGAGGAAATAGTTAATGCAGTACTAAGGTGGCTGACAGGCTCCAGGCATATATATATAAATGGAAAGACCATTGAGAGGATACAAAGATGATAACAGGGAAGCTGGGTAAAGATTATAGAGCACCTAAGGGATAAATTCAATAAGGAATAAGTAAAATATATAATAGGAAATAAAGGGAATGCAGAAGATGCAACAGCCAGATGTATACAGAAGAGAATGAAACACAGAGGGTAGTTAATTAATAAGAAACCAAAATGAAGGCAGAGTGATGATTGTAGAGAAAATGTACTCATTGGAAAGTATATACTGCATTGAAAAAGACTTTGCCATTTTTAAAGTGGCACCAGGTTACAGGTGGAGATATAAATGTGTGTTATTTCTGCATTTATAAACTGCCAGAATGAGAGAGATGGACAAGGGCAGGCACAGTACTGCAATGAGGCTGGGTAGAGTGTAAAATAGGATCATTCATAAAGTCTGAGAGAGTCCTGCAGTTCGTGAGATTGAATAGTGTACACTACCTGGAATATCAGGGGTAATCAAGAGGTCGAAGAACCAGAGGGGAAAGGAGTTGTTTCTCTCTTGAGAAAGAAGTGGTTGTTTCTCTTACAATACTGTAATGTGTTGAGGAAATAACAATGATAGCATTAGACAATCTTTAGGATTATGTAGGCATGACAGCAGCAGATAATAAAAGGATAGTGACATTAGGCATATATTTAACTCCCCGGTAAACAGCAGAAGGCCCAGGAGAGAGTATGATAAAAGCAATAAGTACCTGAAGATTGTCGAGAAAGGTGGCAATAGTGGCAGAGGTTGTAGTTCACAAATACTTGAGATATAAATATGAGAATTGATTGTGCCTACTGTTACCAACTCTTGTATGTATATCAATATACAATACTGTATACATATATATATATATATATATATATATATATATATATATATATATATATATATATATATATATATATATATATATATATATATATATATATATATATATATATATATATATATATATATATATATATATATATATATATATATATATATATATATATATATATATATATATATGTCGTACCTAGTAGCCAGAACTCACTTCTCAGCCTACTATGCAAGGCCCATTTTGCCTAATAAGCCAAGTTTTCATGAATTAATTGCTTTTCGACTACGTAACCTACCTACCCTAACCTAACCTAACTTTTTCGGCTACCTAACCTAACCTAATCTATAAAGATAGGTTAGGTTAGGTTAGGTAGGGTTGGTTAGGTTCGGTCATATATCTACGTTAATTTTAACTCCAATAACAAAAATTGACCTCATACATAATGAAATGGGTAGCTTTATCATTTCATAAGAAAAAAATTAGAGAAAATATATTAATTCGGGAAAACTTGGCTTATAAGGCAAATCGGGCCTTGCATAGTAGGCCCAGAATTGCGTTCTGGCTACTAGGTACGACATATATATATATATATATATATATATATATATATATATATATATATATATATATATATATCTTACTGTACTTGTATATACATAACTATAGCTCAACAAAATAGGCAAGATATTCAGATTTGATGTGAGTGTAATGTTTCACTGTTGCTTTTCTCTCCATTTTGACAGTTTCATTTGGCCTTGGTATTATGGAGTATTGTGCTGTGCCTCCTGGGTCGGGCCATGAATATTTTCCCTCTCTCTTGGCTTGTTAATAAGTTCCGTGACCACCAGATCAACTACAAAATGATGTTTATTATGTGGTTTAGTGGTAAGTAACAGAATTTTTCAAACAATTTTTAGTGTTATTTTTAAGTCTAAAGATGGTTTATATAAAGTTTATAAAAAGTCAAACTTTATTTTAAAAATTAAAAGTCATTTAATCTCCAAATGGTTCTGGTGTGAATGGCTTCTAAGTATCTGGTGTAATTAAGTGTAATTGCCTGACTGTACTTGCAGAATGAGAACTATGTTCATGGTGTCCCGAGTACTGTCATATGATGCTTTGTAACTACTGACTGTTCTGGCCTCCACCACCACCTCACTTGTTCCAACTGTCTACCATTGTTTGCAAAAGTGAACTTTCTATATTTTTTGGCAGCTTTGTTTTCTTAGTTTGAGTCTATGACCCCTTGTTCTTGAAGATGTAGATTTCAAGAATTCTTCTTTGTCACTTTTGTTGATTCCTGTTATTGTTTTGCACATGGTGATCATATTGCTGCTCTTTCTTCAATCTTCTAGCTTCAGTATATTTAACATCTTTAGCCTCTCCTTATACCATATAAACACCTGCACCACAAGTATATGTACAAACCCCCCTTTTCTTACCTTATCAACATCAGATTGGAGGTTTGCAGTGTCCTCTATATTGTCTACTCTCATGGAAAATCCTTGTGTCATCTGCAAAAGATGATACAGTACTATACAGTAGTTTGTATCCTTGTCTATGTCTTATATCCTTGTCTATATACAGACGAGAAAACGTACCAGAGCAAGCACGGTATCTTGGGGGACTGAGATTTTTATGGTGAATGATCCGGAGTTTACTCTGTCGATTATTACACTCCAAGATATTTGTTAGAAAGTTAAAGATCCAACCCCCTACTTTGCCAGCAATTCTTTTTGAGCGCATTTTGTATGCAATAACACGATGGTCACATTTTTTTTAAAGCTTTTGCAAATTCTGTATAATACATAAGCATCTTGCTTGTCTTCCAAGGAATCTAAGGCCATGTCTTAGTAGTGTAGCAGTTGTGAGAGGCAGGAGCACACTGTTCTGAGCCCATGTGGCCCAGGGTTATGTAGGTGATGTGATTCCATGTGTTTTGTAATCCTACTTCTTATCACTTTCAAACATTTTTATGATGTGTGATGTTAGATCATATGAACACCTCCCCTACCACTGTGTGAACGCTCCCCCCACCACTGCAAGCATGTAAACGCTTTCCCCCACCACCAGAAGCATGTGAACGCTCTTCCACCACCGCTAGCATTTGAACGTTCTCCCACCACCGCTAGCATTTGAAAGCTCTCCCACCACCACTAGCATTTGAACACTCTCCCACCACCGCTAGCATGCAAACGCTTTCCCACCACCGCTAGCATGCGAATGCTATCCCACCACCACTAGCATGCGAACACCTTCCCTCTCCCCAATAACTAGCTATAATGATAATGGTCCAGGACAGACCAAAACATTGTCGTCTTTTCATCTTCCGGTGTGTAGTTTGGTCATCAACAAAATCACAAAGTATCATACTGACATACAGTATGTTCATAAATTAGATATTAAAGCCGTAAATATTCTTCAGTTTTATATTTTTCAAAATAAATCGTAGGGCATAATGAAATTGAGCATTTGAATGACTGCCAAAATGAGTGTGATACACAGGCTTACTACACCATTCATAAAATGTTTTTGGTGGAGACACGTACCTCATAACTTGGTGCACTGTGTATCCAAGACGTATCCCGTGTATCCATATCAGAGTACAGTACAGTATATTTACCTTGGTCCTTGAAGTATTAAATTTTATATGCCTTTTCTACACACCACAGGTGAATTGAATACTGTACTGCACATTGTTTAGTCATATATATATAGTACAGTACAGTAGTTAGTCATTGTATAGCAGGTGAATGACTAAAACTCTGTACATATAACTAAAAAATCCAGTAAACGAGTCATACTATTTTCAAATTCCCAGAGATTACTCCCTAGGAAAGATTGATGTAAAATGAACCACTTCATTTTTCCCAGGATTACGAGGGGCCATTGCTTATGCTTTAGCCCTTCACTTGGAGTTCAGTGATGAGAAGCGGCACGTAATTGTAACGACGACTCTCACCATTGTATTGTTCACCATATTTTGTCTTGGGGGCTCTACCATGCCTCTTATTAAGGTAAGCACGGTATATTGGGTTAATTCCTCGCTAAAAAAATGTTGATTAGAACTTAGGGGCCCCAAGGATGGTTTATGTCAAAGCTGAAAGTTCTTAGCTTTAAAATCTTCAGCCTATGCTGATATTCGAGGTCACTCAGTTTTGTGATGAATTTGGTTACAGTGCATTGAACTTTTACATGTGATGGAATGCCCTCTTGAACGTTCAAGCATGACATAACTTAAGGAAACTCTAGAGAGAGCATTACCACAGAGAAAAATGATAGTGTCTATATGGAGAGTTATTAATTACAAGTGTAGCAATAGATGCAGTGACAAAGATGAAACATGAGGCATTGTCCTTAACCATAAGAGGGAAACATTGGAATGATGGAACAGATAGAAATGGAATAATGGCTGTAGAAACATTATTTAAGAAATGCAGGTGATATTAAGTGGAAAGGGATAAGGAATAGGAAAGCATACACAACATTTTGAACAATGAAGAATTCCAGGTGTCAAGTGTAGGATTGTAACGTGATTTAAGAGAAAACCCTTGTAGAAACCTTGCTTGGACATGTAGAAACTGTGTTGGTGGAAGGGGGAGCAGGAAGTAACCACTTATCATTTCAAGGGGACAGCAGAGGAAAATAGATAACTTTGCCTATAAGGTAGCTTATTCTATGCTAAATAATCTTGTGAAGGGACTGCTACAGTACATGCAAAATTTATAATACCAGTTGCACATAATTACTGTAATCAGGAAGACAGATGAAATAGAATACTGTATTTTACCAGTAATTTAATTTTACCTGTTTTGTCTCCCTAAGTACCTTAAGGCTGACAAGAAGCAGAGAAACAGACGACCTAAGGAACGCGATAAAGAAATGACCCTGAGCAAAACTAGAGAATGGGTAAGTTTAATATTTTTTTCAGGAGGGAACCCCCAGTGGCTCCCTGAAGCTTTCTTGCTGAGATTGCTCCATACTAAAAGATCTCACCAGTTGAAGAATTTCTATTTGGCCTTTTTACCAGAGCCAGAGCCTCGGGCCCCCCTTCAGAGGAATGAGGAGCAAGTGACAATCCACCACCCACTGGAAAAATCCTCCAGAAAGACAGCAAACCTTTACAGACAACTGAAGGTTCATAGAAATGAAGCCTCGGAATCACCAAACAACTCTCCAAATGATTCAAATAGAATAAGGGATTTACTCAAATTAGTCCAAAATTCACTAGTACTGTACTGATTACCACCATCAGGCAGCCCTGCCCTACCCTTCAGCAAAGTCCCCATCTTAGTTCTGTTTGCTCATGATGCAGTGAGAAGAGCTGTTTGTAGTGTTCTGGTCCATCAAATTCTGGGCAAGCCCCTGTTTCAAGACAAGTGCTGGCCATCCTTCAGTTCTGTTGTCTTGTGGAGGCAGGTTGAGAGTCTTCAGTCTCTTTTTTTTTTTTTTTTTTTTTTTTTTTTTAAACCCAGCAGTGGTTTGTTTTGTTGCAGGCAAAACTCGCTGACTTTCTGGACATTTTACCACCTCACTGGGTGAGGTGGCGAAATGTCACCATTCCCTCGCCTGTGAGGGTCCAGGTTCTGGTCCCTGGTAGGCCTAAGAACAACATGGCTGACGCAACTTGGTAGATGGGAACCATCTCGGTGTGTAGCTTCAGGGAGCCTCCAGTGTCTCCCAAAAAAAGGCATTTCATTAAATTTAACACTGGTCTTTTGTTCTGAGGTTAGTTTGTTTCACGTAGCACTGGAAAAACTTCCAGAAACCCAGTGTTGAATGTACCTCCCCCTCCCCCTGCCATCCCTCCAGGTTCTTCGTGGGTTGTTCATCCAGCCCATCCTCCTAAGATTTCCCAAAATAAAGAAACTATCATATTAAAATGCCCTTACCTTAACCTACCAGAGGACCCAAAACAGAAAACGGGACAGTGTGCCAACTTATCGAACTACTACCGTTTTCTAGTGCGACAATTTTTGGCCTTGGGTAAAGTATTGAACATGTACTTTAAACGTGGACAAAATGAGACGTTCTATTAGGAGGACGGGTTAGTTCATCAGCTCCAGAACTGAGATGGGGAGTTGGCTAAGGGCTGGTACCAGGCTACCGGGTGGCTGTAATCAGTATTTAACAAGTTTGTAGCTAGTTAAGTTAATCCCTTGTTCTGTGTGAATCATTTGCAGAGTTGTTTGGTGTTTTTGAGGCTTCAATTTCTGTTGTCTGTAATGTTTTTGCTGACTTTCCAGAGACAAGGGTTTTTCCATTGGGGTAATGCACCTCTGTGGAGGGCTAGGTTCTTGCACTGGTTCCTGGTAGACTAAACAGAACTTCCATTACTGATAGCTTCAGGGTGCCACCAGGGCTTCTCCAGAAGGCATTTCATTACATTCAACAGTGAGTCTTTTTTTCTGCTTGTTATTTTAAAACATAACTTTTCTTAATAGTTTATGCAATCAGTGTCCCAGAACCTGACTTTTATTCATTCAACCATTTTGAAATTACAGTAGTACTTAATTTTTTCTAAATGGGCATCATTCATTGAAACAAAAAGCACCCAGTTGGGCTGATGGTTGAACCCATTAAACAACCCAAGGTATCTGAGCAGATCATCAATTGGCACCATGCAGATTTCAGATTTCTCTGACTCTTTCACAAATACTGTATATTAAGGCCCTTCAGATTAAATTATACATTTTGTACAATGTACTGTGTATAATTTTCAGGGTCAAGCATTGGATTCTGAACATTTATCAGAGTTCACAGAAGATGAGAGCGACACACCAATGGGTGCACAGGCCCGAGGATTCCTACGCCTCGACCTTCTGTATCTCCGTCCATTTCTCATTAGGCGTGTGACACATCAAGAGGTAGGCTGTCTCATCACTGCTGGTGTCTGATATTATGAATAATATTTCTCTCATTTTTATTTCCTAAAATTATACTTTCAGATTGTAATAGAAGAAAGGTACCAATATGCATAATCAAATTAAATTATTAACAGGAATGATAATCTTTCTTTTTAAAGTAATGATGTTTGAATACCTCTGCACACCATTCCTGCCAAAACCCACCATGTTGCCCAGAGTTGTTGCCTGGTTCCTTTCCAGTTGCACAGTACAGTGTGAGCTTGTAGCCATGTGGCATGCCCTGAGAAGGATTCAGATTCCTGTAAGCTCCAGGCTTTATGAATTGATCCGGTATTCTTGGTTTCCAGTTCCAAGACGCATGTTATCCAGGTCATCAGGGTATCATGAAGTCCACCCAGCCTGCGATCTCCCCGCATGCCTACAATATTCAGAAATACACTGCCCTTTCCGCAGTTTTTGCTATCATGTTCTGGGCTGATATTTGGACACGAGGTTTTAGCAGTCTAGCAATTATTTGGGTTTTGCCTCTCGACCTGGAGTCTCGTCTTCATTCTCACTGCCTGTGGTTTCTCCTATTTCCTAGTGAGTCCCCACTTTCTTCTCTGTGGGTAATTAGCTTCAGGGAGCCACAAGGGGCTCCCTGAAGCTAACAAATGTAATGAAACTCCTCTTTGTGGGTGAGCCCGTGGCTCCCTTATTCCCTTTTTCCCACTCAGGGCGTCAAACAGTGGGCACTATAACCTCCAGGATTCCCTTCACCCAGTTTGTAGGTGTTAAAGCTAACAAGCTTGTGCTTGTTTTGAAAAATTCAATCTATTTACATTGTCATTTGGGAGTTTTGGGGCTTCATTCTCATTAAACTCGGCAGTGGTCTTCATTGATTCGCTGACTTTCTGGATGCTTTCCCAGTGTGGTGTCTCACTCCCTATGAGACACCTCCACAGGATGTCTCATTCATCACCGATCGTGAATCAATGACATCATGAGATTTCCTCTCCACCACAGCCAAAGCTACATAAACAATTTCTTTTTAAATCTCCCATTGCCAGTGAATGCATTTTAACATTACAGTACAGTATTAGAACAAATTTAAAAAATTTCGTGCACACAATGTAGTTGTTATATGAAACAGGTGTGTAATATAGGGATTAAGTTTTATTTTGTGGAGTCTACAGGTATGGTAAAGTTTTGATTATTACTGTACAGTATATTTATTGTGTTAATAATTTAATACGGTGCATCATAATTTACAAACCCTGAGATCACAAAGCATTGCTATATCTTGATGTGTTCTGATATCTATAAACAATATTATCGATGTTTCTATAAGTTGGAGTATCTGCATCGGTTTATAAGGTAGTATCTGCATCAGCCAAAATTTGGGTATCAAACATTTCTAGTTGTTATATCCAGGGATCTGGATGATCTGAATCCATATACAGGACTATAATGTGAAGTACAGGTATACTGTGTATAATTCCCTAAATCTTTATATATTGCAACTTAGCCTAATATATCTACCACAGGTGCGGTCACATGCCAATGACCTGAAAAAGCAGTGCTATCAGTCAATCAATGTTCAAGCCTCAGAGTCTGAAGAAGAAGAAGAAGACGAAATCTTCACAGCTCGCTAAAGATTTTTTTTTTTTTAACAAGACTATGATCAGTTTGCCTGTTGTTGAACTGTTGCCTCAGTGCTGCCCACACTTCTTTTCTTGGTTTATAATATCGCACTAAAATGTGCTAATCTGTATTAATTTGTCTTCAGTTCAGTCAAAAATATACTGTACTGTAGACAAGAATATTGAAAGATATTATTATTGGTTTTCTTTTGGTGAATATTAAGAGTATGGTGTGCCAATACCAGAATACTGTTGTCTGCAGTGTTTACAGGCAATATTTCTGTAAATGTTCAACAGGTTAATAACTTAGTTTTATTGTATAATGCATAAGAGGTTGCCATCTGAATTTTGACATGATGAATACCTTAAAAATATATAAATGTATTGCTCATTTTACAATTTCTATATACAGTAGTGTTATATAATTGCTAACTACTTTGACAGTTACAAAGGTATGACAACTTTCTACATTGCATTTCACGCCATAAATGTTTATATTGTATAAATTTGCAGAGATCTGGTGACTACTATATAAAACACACATTTTATACGTCTTCTGTGTCCAAGTCATTAAAACAATTTGCTATAGAATATTTTTAATAAATTATAATGTGGCCATACATAACTGTAAATATAATTGTACAGTTGTACCTATTTTGTTAAAGTATCCTTGGTAGGGATATCTTTGGGTTGTCTTATTTTATTTTCTTCCAATACGTTTGTTCAGCATTTGGAATGCCTCATACTATTATGAATGTGATTCATGAATAATTCATAATGCTAAGGCAGTGTGCTGCCTATGCAGTCCCTATTGACTTTTAACTAAAAATCTTGTAGTCCCCTCCCCAATCTAATGAATTGATTCATACTGAACCTGTATACAGGGAAGTTCCCAACATACGAACATCTGAACTTATGAATAGTCTCAAATCCCCATTTTAGCTCCTTGTCCTGTTATATGAACCCATTCCCATCTCCCCACATTATGGATAGTGCAGGTAAGCGGGAAGAGTCGCTTTTACAGGGTAAAAACTGGCTAATCAAGGTATGAAGGATCATAACCGGATTGAATTTTGCTCATTAAATGTATACAGTACTGTAGATGAAATCTGGGTTCAGGTAAATAGGACTTTACTGTACACTCTAGTATTTTTTCTAATTTGACATATTTGTGATACAAAAGTGATGTGGTTGTAACCATAATTATCTAGTCAGGTTAGGATTTAAGTGAATTTTGAGGTAAAGTTTGTAATATTTAACAGTAAACAGGTAGTAATAATTTTACTTTGCAAAGAGCATTTCTTAACAATATTTATCCTGGTTCTCATAATTCATTACATATATACCAGTCTAATCTTTCCCACTTTCATGATGTAGGGTGTTATCAGCCTAGAGGAGAAGAGTGAGATACAAAGTAAAAGGTTACAGACTTTTAATAATGAAACATTAAAAATATCACTCGAGCCATTCATATAATCATTCACAATGCAATATAGCATCACAGATACGCACACATTACTTCACTCCAGCAACCAACACCAGTGAATTGGCATATACAGTACTGCAAATTATATAAAACACTTCTTAAAAATTGCTTCCACCTAGCCTTGTTCTTTGCTATATTCTATGCACTAACCATACATGCACATCATGTCTGCACACTCTTTTCCCTGACAATCTTCCTCTTCCTTAAAATTCACTTTAATATACACCATTCTGTTATCCATTTGTGCAACATAACAAAACCACCCATCTTGACATACTCTTTACTTTTGCAATTTATTAACTTTCACACTACACATATCCATGATCTTTTTATTCTTTACTTAATCTACTTTCCTATTGCCACACATGATTACCAGATTGGCCATTTCTACTGTTTTAACTTAATTTTAAATATTCATACCACCCATCATCTAGCAACTATAAACAAGTTGGGCACCATGACTTCATGCAGATCTCTGACTTTCTATTTCTAATTAGTGTCTATATAATATATATATATATATATATATATATATATATATATATATATATATATATATATATATATATATATATAATACATTATATATATATATATATAATGTATTTATATTTTATGTATACATACAGACACAGGTTTCCTCTTTTTGCCAAATTCATACATACTCATTCTTCGAAATCCTTCTCTTTGTCATGCTAATTCATATTCCATGCTTGCCATGTGTAGTTCTTATGGATTGGTTGTGCAAGCTTCTCAAAAAATAAGAATGGTACCAAAAATCGTAATGACTCTGAGGAAACACAAATGGTTAAAAGGAAATCAACAGTATTAACTAGAATAATTTATGAACATTAGCTTTTCCAAATTTGATTTTTACTTGACCCTTTGATTTCTAGGCACAGAAGTACACACTAGGGTGGCTTGTACCTTCCTCCAGTCTAGACATGTATATTTGCCATCGATTCATTTCTGCCTGAAATCAAACCTAAAATGTTATGTCTGTATGCATGTCTTACATATTACAATCTAACCAATCACTTTGTACATAATTATTAGGCAACATATCAGTATACATCGAAAGATGTCTCAATTTATTGCCATCTGGGCACAATATAAGAATACTTTCTCATTTTATGGATTACGTCAAGAAAGTAGGTGACAATTGATATTTTGCTAAATAGATATGCTCACTCCAAATGAATAACAAAATGTTCATAAAATCATGCTTTATTTCATTGATGTGGCCCATTTTATCACCTAAATCACTTTACTAAATTTAATCTTAGTACAGTACATTGCCTCACATGGGGAAAGTAGGCCTGTTGTTGTTCAGGTGTTATTTCATATGGTTGACTCATTATTCTGTGATAATTGTACCAAGTAATTGTTTTCCATAAAGTAAAAATATAGCCTGACTTTAAAATGTTTGTACAAACTTCACTAGTGACAATATGATCTGATTTCCAGGTTGTGATTTTGTTGGCTGCATTAAAATATCATTGTTTCATTAAACAATTATCTTCTCCTTAACCTACATTTGTCCAAAATCATATATGATAGTTGCACATGATAGTCTGCAAAAGATGAAAAAAAACTATGATTTACAGCAGTGGCCACCCCTTCAAAAGTTTCACCTTGTGGTGAGAGGGGCTCACATGACTTCCTAAAGTTAGTGGGGGTTGTCTTGGTTTTCTCTCCTGCCCCTTGCTGGTCATTGTACATGTGAAATGACATGGTTCCCATTCAGGTCATTGTACAACCCACTCGTCACCCAGGTGCTCCCCTTTGGGTGTCCAGGTACCGGCGAGAGAACGTAGGACTGTTGTCGTAGGACTCCGTTAAAGGGTGGGTACTGCTTGAGAATACACAGCCTCCCTTGCTTCCCTGATATTCCTGACTGGGACCCTAACCTTTGAAACAATGAGGCATGGTAACATTTCTCAAACCGGCTTGCAGAATGGACAACCCGCCAAAACTGATGGAAAATCGGGCTCCATAGCCCCGGACCATTCCCCTCCTTCCTTGGCAGGGTAGAGCTACAAGCACCTAGTCGTTAAGTCACTCATCCAAATGGCATGGTTCCATATTTTGACAACTGTGCATTTTACCTTCCTCCTTAATGTGGGCTCACAGCAACACGAGTGAGTCCTTAAAACATTGCTACATTCCATGTTTGCCCTTCTATGCGGCTAATGAAGATGGTTGAAAGCATGGATATCAGCCTGGATAGATATTTGTTGAGGGCCAGAAGTCTAAGATAGTGAAGTGGAGAAGGGATGCACTGTGGTTGGTAGAAGACTGGGAGGAAGTTCTAGTTAGTGATGGAGGAACACCTTCAGTCTCGGATCATAGAGGTGCAGAAGGGAAGCCGGTGGAGCAGTGCAACACGTCGAAAAATCAGATGAAAGACCTAATGCCTTGCACTGTGGCAAGATATGTGGTCATGATGCCCAAAGATGTGGACTGCTTGTTAATTAATGGTTTATGTATGGGAGAAGGCAGTGTGTAATTATAAAGATGGTGCCAAGCTGGGAAGACTATGTAGCAAAGTAGTTTGAAGAACGAGGTTTCAGGTGGTTTTTAGACCAAACCTTTGACCAGAACAAATTGTTCTGGTCAAAGTAGAGGTGACAACAAATAACCAGAAACAACACTAGATGGAATTGAAGTTAATGTAGAAGAGGTTTAAAAAAATGCCTAGAGGAACTAGATGTAGCATAGATTACTGAAGGAATCTTGTTACCCATTAATCGTAGTGTTCAGCATTACAATTACGGGAGACAGGAGACCTAATAGAAATCTGGAAAAACAAATGTAGTTCCAATATTCATGAAAGGGGGCAGAATGAATACTGTAGTAAACTATTGACCCGTGTCACACATGAAAGATTCTAAAAAAATAATCCGAAAAAGAACATCTGGGGTGTAAATTTTATCAACACTACTTCAGGTAGGTAAGATCATATTTAAATTCTATTGAATTCTATGATAATCAATACAAGACAAGGAAGAGTGGGTGGCATGTAATTTTCAAAAGCCAGGGAAAACTATGTAGTATTAAGACTAGTAGGTTGCTTCTTCCTAGATTGTCAAAAAACTGTTGATACAGGTCCTCAGGAAAGGTTAAAACAGGTCTCTGTACTAGGACCATTGTGTAAATGACTTCGCAGAGGAAGTAATGTGTTTGATGACACAGGCTTGAGAAAAGGGGAGGCTATATAATAGTAAAATGACAGTGGTGACTGAATTACATGATGGATGCCATATTTTTTCCATACTACAGTACACAACATGGACAAACAAGCTCCAGCACAATTACAGTAACATTAAATATCAGCAAGGAAATAGAAAAAGTGAAGTAAATTTTTTTTCTTTTATTGGTTCAACATTCAATCATCGGAACCTTCATCGACATTTTCAGTTCCAAGTCCTTTGAATGAAGCAACAGGCACAAACGTAACTAGAGTGTAAAAGGGTTGTGTCGAATCTTCATCTTCGTTACGACGACGCGAGAGACGAACACGAATCCGGAATGGAACATTCCTGAAAAGAAAGTTAAGTTTTGTTCATATCATCGTACCAAAAAGAGTCTGCATCAGGAATTAATAGATGCCTGCCCAGATTGCCACCATGCAACCTTTCACAGCTCATCCAACTAGTAAGAATTTTAAGTTTCTCTCACATTTTGCATACAAGTTAATAATTCTACAAGGAAAACATGTTAGAATTTTTTTTTTTGCACATAGGCAGGTATGACCATATTTCAATAGCTGCATGTTGAGGGGTTAAAGTACAGTACACAAAAGTAATACCATCTGTGGTTCTAAATGAAAACTAAATGTGTACACACACAAATCACAATAGCGTTTGTGATTTCTGTGTGTAATGAAGTAAGGGCAAAGAGGTAGAACGGCCTATTGACATAGCTCGAGTGCATGGGGGAATTGTGTAAAAGCCTGGTTTGTGTCTCAGAGGCTGAAGGATCCAAGTAAATTCAGTAGAATGTCTGGCTGCAATTCTTATACCATGTCGTAGCTCAGTCGATTAAGGCAGCGTCTGGGATGCTCTCAGACGAATCGAATCCTCGATTCGGACGAGGTTCGAATCCTCGTCACAGCCCTTGTGGATTTGTTCAAAATGTGTAAAGTCATCTGCATCATGAGCGGTAGCAGACTCGTCACCTAGTATTACTTATAACAAGTGATAAAACACAAGTAAAGTCATGTCAGCCGACCTGTCAAAGTTTGCTTACCTGATGCCACGGCACCAAATGTGCTTATTCAATCTGGTATCAATGCGCACATCCTCTGTGTTCATTTGCTTCTTGGCAAATTTGCGAATTTCCTTAATAGCACGGGGAGCTCTCTTCTTGAAAGATACACCATACAGCCGCTTGTGCATATTTATGGTGTACTCCCGGGTCACCACCTTATCAATGGCCGACTGGCCCTTCTCGCCTTTGACACGGGGCATCTAAAATGTAACAAAATAAACTTGTTAATATTAGTTTTAATATGCATACTGTATATACTAACAGACATTGGATTAGTTTCCCCAATACCTTACCTACCGTGAGTTATTTTCAAAGACCACAGCATGATCTCTGACAAGAACTTCTACCAGTACAAATACATTACCAGAAAAAAGCTCGCAACCTTCACTGTATTTTAGCCAATCAGTAGTTGTGTACAGCACTGGGCTACCATCTTGACAACTTAAGATTCAAGCAATTGAAGATGTCATGGCATGAATACTATTTATAATATTTCCTTGGCACTAAAGACCTAAATACTTTAAATGGTCAAAACTATTTGAAGCTACTTATTTGGGGGGCTACTTTAAATATTTAATGTAGCCTAAAAAATTTTCTTTTCCATACACAGATTGTATTTTAATGTTTCGAAAAAGGAAAAAAATTCCATTTATATTCACCATGGGAACCAGTCAGCTGAGCAGACAGCACACTGGACTTGTGATCCTGTGGTCCCGGGTTCGATCCCGGGCGCCGGCGAGAAACAATGGGCAGTTTCTTTCACCCTATGCCTTTGTTACCTAGCAGTAAAATAGGTACCTGGGTGATAGTCAGCTGTCACTGGCTGCTTCCTGGGGGTGAAGGCCTGGTCGAGGACCGGGCCGCGGGGACACTAAAGCCCCGAAATCATCTCAAGATAACCTAACCACTAATTATAGCACCCAACTGGATTGTACATGGATGGGGTTCTGTGAGTCCTACTCTCCAAGCCAAGACTGGGTCCAGGGTTGATTTGCAAGAGCTTGATCCAACAGGCTGTTGCTGGGAGTGGCACGCTGGCCCACATATCCACTACAACCTGGCTGGTCCAGTATTTATTGCCAAAAACTGTCCAGTTTTCCTTGAAGACTTCAACTTTTGTCTATCAATATCAAGGCCTGTTGTATTATCATGCCGTCGGTGCTATCTGCTACACTTCCCTGTCATCTTTACCCCTGGCATACCAAATCATAATTTAAAACTTCCTAACTTCAGTTTCATCCCTTAAAAAATACTGACGCAAGAATTACAACTCCTGCACTAGCATTCTTTGTTTCTCACTCTCTCTGGATAGAATGGTAGGCTTCCAATGAATGAAACTTCAGTCATGAATCATGGTATCTAGGAGTTGTTTTAATATATTCCAAACTTGACAAATAATTGTAGCATACCCAAAGTAAATGTCCTGCTCTCAGTCCCTTGCTACTGCTCAGTTCTATACAAAACTCATGGAATATATTCTTACATATCTAACATACAATTCCCATTGTTCGAGTTTTTCAAGTATTTATTGCAGTTACCACAAGTTAGTTTGTTACAGCCATATTGCTATTGTTTACAGTTGTGTGTCTCATGCTTGGGAGGACCCTCCCCACAGTTGCAAAGTGTTGTGTGTGCTTGGTTTACACTTCTCGTCTTAAGAAAAATTCAAATGTAGCTATTTAATTGTAACACTGTAAAAGTGTTTGGGTTAGGTTATTTAAAATATATATAGAGTACATGAGTCACAGACAAGGATCTGAGAGGCGCCAGTTGTCTGCCTGAGATCTCACACCTCAAAGCGTTAATGACCTCAAGTGACCTGAGGTCAGATCATGAGAATTTCACCTTGCTTCCGCTAAGCTCTTAATTGTAGTCTGGTAGCCTTCAAACAAGCCGACGTTTAAGGAGTGGCTTGGTAGTGCCGGAGGCTATCTATTTGTGGGCGGAGTTAGCTACTAGGTTCCCCAATATAAACTCGGAGAGCTATCCAGAAAGAGCATTAACAGACAGAGCAGCAGACGAGAGAGAGAAGACGTCCCTACCAGGGAGGCTGTCGGCCGGCAGGGGCGAGACAGTCTCTGTCAAGCTACAGACCCCCCCCCCCTCTCTATTCAACTTAGACTCAGTACTCGGTGAGTGAACATTAAGGTGACTTGGTCGTGTTTACATATGTTGTGTGATGATCAGGGGCAGTCAAGTTGTAGGGTTCTCGAATTCTTGGATGATGACTCACTTTGCATATTAAACTGGAACATTTTAATTGAATTGCTAAATTATGATACTTCATGTGAAATATAATTATGAATTTATTATTTAAATTGTGTTTAACTTTGTTCCCTAGAGCTTTGAGTTGAGGATTTGAGACAGCCTCTGTGGTTACTGGGTTCATGATATAAATGAGTACATGTTTGGAGTTGATACATGGTACAGAGGGAACATACTAATAATGAACTCATGATAACATCCTTTGAGAATTTTGTGATACAGGCAAGTTCCATTCCTTGTCTTGTATGTAATGATCATGAATGGATGGTGGCAGCATTTCGTCTTCTACTATCTACTCTTCTACTTCTACTATCTACTCTTCTCCTTCTACCTATCTACACCTCTCCCTCCACCCCTCTCTAAACTCTCACTTTCAACTAATGACCCTCCTCGCTCCTCCCACCTCTCTCCCTCTCACCCCAAACCCTCACTAATTACTTCACTATGCATTTCTTTCCTTTCGTTATCTCTTTTACGTTTGTGGCTATGATTTTTGTATTCTAGAGTTCTCTCTAGAGTTTCGGGTAGCCGATCCAGTTACGGCGCCTTGTATTCTTAGCACCTAGGTAGTCAAATACCTAGGTTACAAGGTGTTGAACGAGAGAGGTTGCCTTAGGAACTCTGGGAGGTGCTCTAGAATAGTTAGCTAACTGGGGACGGGATAACGGACTAGAGAGAGCTGTTTCCCCCGGCCTCGTTAGTTAACTGGGGGGTGGAATAATGGACAAGATAGAGTTATTTCCCCCACCCCCCGTTACATAATGAATATGGATACAGGTCATGGAATTACCCAAAGCCACCCAAGGCCTCTAGGATATATGTAGAGGAAATATATTTTCTTACTACCTGTATACTGTAATGTAGAATACGAAAACAATTGTAACAAATATAATAAAAGGAAACAAAATTGATAGAGGGTGATGGTAATAAGTCTACGACACACAAAAACCTTGACTCATTGATGTCATCTATCAACATTATTTTTATAATCAACTGAGGTTATTTCTAAGTATAAAAAAAACTTGTTCTACATTCAACACCATAATTATAGTGAGCAAATGTCAATTTATTCCTTATTAATGTAATTAAAGGAGACTGGCTGGCTTGGGTAGCCTAAGATAGCCTAGAGTAGCTTTTGGTAAATCTGTGGACCCCCCTCCCCAACCAAGACAAATTCACCCATGGATATTATCTATATAACCAAACTACAATATACAGTAATTTTAACAAGTAGAAAAAAGTTGTCAAGTGCCTGAATACAATCTAACCTTACCTCAACACAATGCAGTAATGAAACTGCATTTTGGTTGCATCCGTTTGTTAAACAATTTGGCGGGTCGAATTCCAAGAAAAATAAGAATAAGGACCTGCCCGAAATTTTATGTATGTTAGTGGCTTTACAAGAACGTAAGAACTCTTGAATATATAAAAAAATAAATGAGGAGAGATTAGGGAGTGATAGTGCTTTATTGCTTGAAGCAAAGCAAGAAATGCACTGAACTGAAAAAAAATAAGTAAATAACAGGCTCCATTCACATGGTACTAAGAGCTTCAATAAAGTGTCATGCACTGAAAAAATCAATGTCTACTCATGAAGACTGCATAATTTATCCCCCCTCCCCTAATAATATTAGTACAGGTATGATGTTCTAGGCATAAGTAAATATATTTAGAAATGAATCAATACAAAGTCCATTTAACAGTTTAAACTATCCTGCCTCAAATGAACATGTGCTCATTAAATTTAAGTAATGAAACTTTTAAGACAATCTTCACTTGGATAAATACTTTCAATTTTACATTGACCAACAATTTGCTTTTAATACAGCTTACAAAAGAGCATGGAAGATGCTTACAAAATAATGTAAAGGTAAAACTATATATTTTGACAATTAAGATTTGACCAGTACTCAGCAGTCATTCTTAAGTTGGATTTTTTTTTTTTTTTTTATATACACGAGTTCTTACATTCTTGTACTGCCACTAGTGCACAGTGTTTCAGGCAAGCATTTAATCCTACTTTTCCCAGGAATACGACCCACCAAATCGTTTAAGCAGGTACCCATTCACAGCTGCGTGAACAGAGGCTACAGTTAAGAATTGGCGCTAAGTAAATCCTCACCTGGCCAGAATACGAACCCAGGCCAAAGCGCTCGCGAAACTGTAGGCGAGTGTTACCACTTCGCCACAGGGACTATCAAGCCTCAATTTAAACAAACGACTAGAGGGAATCTTTGAGGGGAAAAGGGAGATTGCCACGAAAGCCAAGAGTGCAGACTATATATATATATATATATATATAGACTATACTGTACAAGTATATACTTGTGCAGTATATTGTATCTTCAGATGGTGTCATTAGCCTTTTCCAGGTCAAAAAGGGCAGCAGCAACAGAGGTCTTTGCAGCAAAGGCAGTACAAATGTAGACCTCTCAAGCAAAGACCTCAAATATTACATATTTGTTCATTAGACCTCTTAAGATTACTAAAACAGTCGTGCAGCAACACATGATAGCCAAATTGAGAGGGAAGAAGTGGTGATAGTGTTTAAAGCACATTAGATGACAATTGGAAAAAAGCATATTCAACACACCCGTTAGTGTCTGTATACAAATTGAACAGCCACCTTAATTATACAAGGAGCAATGGTTTCAAGCTCAATTAGCAGCAATGTATGATAGAAAAAATATTTTGCACCTTAGGGGTTATAAACCTACTAGCCAAATTCATAGCTGCCAATATTACTGCAGTACTGAAAATGCAAAATGAAACTAGAAAAATTGAGCATCTTTCGGCAAGCCGGCGGCTTCCTGTCCCCATTTGACCACTAGAGACGTGACCCTTCAGGTAAAACGTGTGTACAAAACTTCAGCATCCGTCCAGGCGAGAGGACTCGACCCTTAACGGCTATTATACACAAACTGACTGGCTGATTACTTGGCCCAAGCACTGTACCGACACTTAAGCAGTGATCATGCAGCAGAGAGCGCCTGGAAGACACACTTAAGTGTGTGTGAGAGAGACTCAAGGTGGCGGCATGAGGCGGCCTGGTGACCACATGTAAACAAGCGTGGCCACTCTCCCTCCCTGTTATTCTCCCTCTCCTCTCCCGCCCTGGCTTACCTCTCCTGCTCTAGCGTCGCCTCCACCTCCACAACACTACCCACTATCACTACACTATACACCACACTCACAAAAGTGAGAGCAATAGTGAGAAATTTGGACCAAGTAAGGAGTAGCTACCTCGCCTGACGGAGGCCGACGGTAAAGAGGCGCACCACAAGATGGCGGCGGGTGACCGTAGCCGTGAGCAGCGACGAGCGCATCCGCCTCCCGGTCTTAGATTGGTTTTGTTTATTTATTTGTAGGAAAAAAAATAATAGGTTATTATTTATAAATATTTTGTGTAAATGGTATATTCTCATAAAGCATCGTAATTTAAATCTGTAAAGTAGATAATACAGTCTCCTGGTGTAGTTGCCTTCGTTCTCGATTCACAATCTTGGACCCGGGTTCGATTACCAAATGGGACAGAAATGGTTAGGTATGTTTCCTTTCACTTAATGTCTCTATTAACCTAGCATTAAATACGTACCCGGGAGTTACTGAACTATTTATTTTTTTGTTTGTTGCCGCCGGAGGCAGCTAGTTTATTGTGCACCCCATACTCACCCTTTGAGTAGTAGCGCAAAAACCATTACAGAGGGCACAAAAGGCCTTTATCAGGCCTCAGCGGAGATTATTACATAAACAATTTCATCTATCCTTCACATCTTATAATTACAATGCCAGCTAGACTAAAGTAATACAATATATATATATATATATATATATATATATATATATATATATATATATATATATATATATATATATATATATATATATATATATACACACACACAGACTTCCTGTCCCTAACAAAACGAATTAATAAATCGTTCAGACAGGTTCTCCTATGGGATTAGTCAGTAAATGGATGGATGATTGCACGGACAGACTCCAAATTCTGAGCACACCTTTACCAGGTAACACCCACCTAGACAGCTGCCACAGCCACACCCCAAGTACTCCTCTCATTTACTCGAGGATTACCCTCGAGGTGACTTATCAAGGAATGAGGAACCGCAAAACACCTCCTGGAGGGAGCTGATAAGTGATCATTTCATCATGGAAACATCATGGGAAAATTTTAGGGACATTACAGATCTCGTTCAAAAATATGTGCCAAAGTGGAGAAAGAAAACAAAGGGAACTAGATGGATGACACAGGTAGTAAAAAGAGGCATTGATAACTAAGCGGAACCTCTGAAGAAGGTATAAAGTCACGATGAAAATCAATGATTATGAAATATATAAACGTACACTAAATTCAACCACCGGAAATTAGATCAGCCAAAAGAAACTACGAAAGAAGACTTGCCCAAAACATAAAGAAAGATCCTAAGACGTTCTATGCCTATACAAGAAGTAAAACCAAAACAAAGGACTCGGTAGGACCCTTAAAAGACGAGACCAATCAAGTTATAATGAACGTTAAAAGGGTAACAAACACTGAATGAATAATCTACATCAGTGTAAAGTATTAAATAACATCCCATTGCCCATACAAATGTTTGAAGGGGGTGAAGAGAACGAATTAGGGGTATACCCATAACGTGCGACAATCAGAAAGAGCATTGATCGACAAATGCTCTACTAAATGCCAAACTAAGGACTCAAAATCCCCAAGTTGCACAATAAGTGAGTGCGGCAGTAAAAACAGCTAGCCAAACCCTAGGAATAAACAAGCGAACCTTTACCTGTAAGGAAAAGAAGGTAGTCATTCAATTGTATGTCTCTGGTGCGCCCTCATTTGGATTACTGTGTCCAAGCATGGAGACCTCATCTTCAGGAGGACATAGCTGCTTTGGAGATAGTTCAACACAAGGCAACAAAATTCTTTCCAGAACTACGTCAACTCTCATTCCAGGAACAGTTGAGAGCCACAGGACTAACAACACTGTAAACCAGACGTGACAGGGCAGATCTTATCAAAACTTTTAAAATACTGAACAATTTGGAGGATGTTGATCTAACTTTCTGCAATTTCTGCAAAAAGGTCACATGTAACACGAAGATGGAGCAACGGTTTCAAGCTCAACAAGGGACAATGTAAGACTGAAAACAGGGGGATGTTATTTCCCACCCACAGGGTTAAAAACCTATGGAACAGCCTACCCGCCGAAACATAAATGTCAAAACGTTATTAAAATTTAAAATCCAGCTGGAAAAAATCATCAGGGCAAATAGGAGGATCTTTGACAAGCCACCGGCTTCCTGTCCTCGTCGAGGCTACTAGTGTTAGTAGCCCTCAGGTAAATTCAGGTAAATACTCTCCAAACCTACATGCATCAACACAGGGCAAGTTTCAGCCCACGGGACCAGCTTTGCGATCGCCGATCACTTATTTCAATGACTCGTAATCTTCTTGCTTCTTATCATACGTTACATTGAAACTATATGTGGAACTGGTTCCATATTCATCCAACTAGTTTTCAATCCACTTACACATTTACTTGTGAGTTTTGCTTAGAGGCATGTCGTTGCTCGTCCTCCGTTGTCACTATATAGTAATCTACCTTTGTATAGGGATAATGCCAAACTTTGACACTTGTTTGTCTTGGTTACCCCATGTCACTCACCTCAGAGTTAAATGTTCTAAAGTCTTGTTCCGTACTTTCCTAAATGGAAATGGAGTTTACATGGCTTCTACACAAGTCAGAAGCCTAGTAAATAAATCTGATGCAGTGTGGTTATACGCTGGGACAGTTTACTTGCTGAGATCTGTTTTGAAGAATTTATGATGGAGTAACTTTGTTTCAAGGCCTCATAGTTTTCTGTAAATATTATTAATTATTTGCCAGTGGTGGTGGTATACACACGGATACTCCACAATAAAGTAAACTTTGAACTAATCAGAGCCAAGAGCTGTGCAGTCATAATTATTAGTGGACGAGGCTGTATTTCCAGTGATTTACTTATTTATTAATTCATTTTTATTAGTAAACATTATTTACATACTCTTTCATACTACCGCCTCCAATTCTATGCTGTGCCATGCTATCTCATATAGGGGGTTAAATAAACCCAGGCTACTGTATTACTGAATACCGAGTCAAATTGGAAATATCAGAACATTACTGAGAGGTTATAAAAGTACATTTTAACAAGAGTGAAGGACTAGGCGGATGAGAGCAGAGATGGTCGTCGAGGCAACATTCTTTCCTGGTGGTGTGTCAGTTCCGGATGAAGGCCAAGGAGACCAGGAACCAGCAGAGGTGTTGACGGTGTCATCAACCATCATCAACTAAGTGATTTTGTCGTAGTGGTCAAGTAGCTGTGAGAGGCATGATCTTCCCACCTTAAATCCATGTTGGCTTGGCTGAGAAGGTTAAGGTGCTCTAACATCTGTGGCAGGATTGAATTACAGCTGACCAGATACTGCAATAATCCCCAGCTTTCTGCACCTGTGTTGGGGCCAGGTTCAAGCTCTGGTCCCCAGTAGGCCAACAGGACCCATGTGGCTAATGTGACTCAATATTTCTATGAAGCTATCTCAGTTAGATAGCTTCAGACAGTCACCGGGGAGCTCCCCGTGTGCGTCCTCGTCCGAGTTCACCCTCGCCCGTATGCACCCTCACCACGCCCTTCCTCTGATCTTGGTGTGTGCAGAGTTTACGCCATTCTCTTTGGATATTACTTTCATTTACAGTAATAAGACTTGAAGTTTATAACTTTAAATTTAGAATGAAGTGGAACAAATCTAGCCAGAGGCATACAAACGTCAGGCCATATGCCATAAAACACATATATAAATATATTTAAATATATAAATTTGTCATATAAATGTGACAAATATATTGTATGACATGGACGTGGGTCAGTAATTCTTCTTGGCTTCAGTTGTAGTCAGGGAAAGTTGAAAATTTCAGTATGCAGCTTCTGAAAACTTTTCTTTTTGAGACTGCCCATAGCATAGTTGGCAATTTGGATGGCAATTTATACTTTGTTAAAGTTAATTGATGCATCATTTTCACTAGATGAGTCATAACAGATGAAACAGTACCGGTATTATTTAAAAATAGGCAGCACTTTTGTGTGTACAAGCGAGACAAGAAATCCTAGGAAAGTAATCAATTGCTGGCAGACTTGATGCATTTCAGGTCTCACAAAATCAACTGCTTGCAAACAATGTATACACTAAGTAATCATCAAGAGAAGGCATTAAGCTGGGATGGGAACACTCTGAGGTCTTAAACAAACACAAGAGAAATTAACATTTTTATGTAATATTATGTACATTTTAAAATTTGCACAGAAGTGTTTACTCAAAACTAATTTTTTCCATTCCATATAAGCAAAGACTAACCAAAAACAAATAATGGCAGATCTGTAATTTGCACAAAATAATAAATTAGTCAACACTCGCCAATATTTAATTTTAGCAAGATTTCACACCATATTCTTGAAATTATGATAAATTCTATACTATTTGATTAATTTTTTCTAAACACATTTAAATATAATTCAAATATTTCTAATATAATAGATTTACCATAAACACCAGTCTAATTAAAAAAGATCATTTTATATATACAATTTTCTTTCAAGGAACATAACGATTTGAATAATTAAACTGAAGTTTAAGTGTTGAAAAGAACTATACAGTATATAGATGTACAAAAAGGAGAAGAATTTTTTTAGATATATGAGAATTATAGTTTCTATATTAAACGTCCATTTTTATAAAACCTTATGAAATAGTTCTACCTTAGACTGCCTAGCATTATCAGGTACAAGTGGTATGTAATATGCATCATAACAGCATCACCTACATCAATGTTGAACACCATCATATTCTGATACCGGTCTAGCGGCACCAACTTGTGCATATCTATCGCTGCCTACAGGGATGTCATCTTTGTCATCTTTGAGTCAAGATGTCATCTTTGCTCTTTAAACTATGCATGGAGGCCGCTTCCAAAATTTTGTGTTATACAATGAATTGACTCCAGAACTGGGGACACTGAATGACAGTAATTTAAGTTCCTTTTATAGAGTGGTCATCCAATCTCCTTAGTCCCAAGCTAAAAATAAAAAGTCTGGCCACAAGTTGGTATTACCAAGGTGGATTTTGAAAATGGCCTAAAGCACAGCCCCCTATTCTTGGACCCTTGTGATGAACAGCCCCCATTCCTTGCACGATGAAGCAAAACCCTTATCCTTGCACAATGCTGATGCACAACCCCCCTATTCTTGCGTGATGGTGAAACACAGCCCGCCCCTAATTCTTGCATGATGGCAAAACACTGCCCCCTATTTTTGCATGATGGTGAAGCACAGCCCCCTATCCATCCATGATGGAGAGTTACAACCCCCTATCCTTACTTGGTGAGACAGCCCCAATCCTTGCATTATGGTGAAGCAACAGTCCCCTATCCTTGCATCATAGTGAAGCGACAGCCCCTTATCTTTGCATGATGGTGAGGCAACAGCCCCCTATCCTTGCATGATGGTGAAGTCCAACAAGTCTCCTCTGTCACAAAGCTTCAAGCTGTGCTCATTAGCCAAGTGAAGGAGCGCGATGAATGCCAATGGCACCGAGAGGTTCTCCTGCATCTTCGAAGACAATTTTGGGCTCAGTTTCTTGTATATACCAGAGAATTCAATAATGTGATTGGGGTCCATTTTGTCAAGGCTCTCCTGCAAGTTATCAGCTTGGTTCTCTGATCTGAAATATTACAGAAAAATATCTAAAAATATATATAAATATATGGAATTATCTTTTCTCTTAAATAAAATGAAATGCCATCAAAAGCACGTGCCCCAGCATGGCCGACACCAACCCCTAAAGCAGTCAGGCACACATGATTACAAACTTACTCTCAACACAATTTCAAGCAATTCAATGAAGAAACTGTTTAACTGTCAGCCTGAAACAATAATACTTAATTCAAATAATTTATTAATTTCCCAATGAGCCAAAGTATATCATGATAATTGAAATAATAATAATAAATACCCTATATAAAAGTAAATACATTTGATACATGAAACAGTGGAGAATTTGTTGGCAAGAAATGTACATAATACAAAGCAATTATTATGCAGTGCATTTCAGAAACAACAAAGATAATTACAAGATTTATTTATAAGTTTAATGGAGTAATACTTAAAACTAAAAAGAAAGTAGTAAATTAAAATTTTTAATTGTTACAGATATTTAACAAGTGTTAAAATTTGTAATGATATTTAAAAACTGCAGTGTTTAGCGTGAGTACAAATATAGTATTAATGTTAACAATAACAGCAAACAAAGGTTGATATGCAGGATGAGGAGATGCGAGTAAAATAACTAAACTATACCATACTTACTGTCGTTCATTTTCCTTGTTATTTGCTGGATCCGCAAGCAAACTCCACAATGTTCCCTTGAGTTTCTTCATGTCAACTTTTTTTGCAGTTCGAGCATAACCGATGGTAATTTTGGCCACCTGAAAAGTAAGACAATATATTTCATATTTCTTACAAATTTAAAGGGAAAAATCTAGCATTGAATGTAATGAAATGTTCTTTCCTAGACGGCTACCCCCTGATTTCTCTCCTTTCCCTCCCCACCAGTTTAACTCTTAGTATGATCAAGACTTGGCTCAATACACCAGGCCTCAGTGGTGTATCTGTCGCCTACTGGGAGCCAAGACCAGAATCTGGTTCACTCTATGTGACAAAGGTAGCAGGGCCAAGGGATCAAAAATATAACTGGGGGTAAACTGAAGAAGCAATAGCCCATTCTCCATTGATGATAGTACAGTACTTGTAGTAACTATCTGGTGAAATGAACAAAAATTGGACTGTTGGACTAAAACAGTTCATGTTTTCACTTTTGAATTAGCCCAATTGACATAATGCATAATGTACTAAAAAAATTTAAAACTAAAGAACCACCCATGAAACAACCCTGATATGCGCAATTCAAGGGTTAAAAACATAAATAAATGTAATTGTTCTGACCTTATTTGGAGCAGTAACTAAGTTTTCTAAGAAGTCAGATGCTCTATTCTCTGCATCCTCTCCATTGAGTGGCTGTGAGCCAACAACAGTCTGACTAAACAGCTCGGTCATGTCGTAGCCTGGTACCGAGTTGTCACCATAGCCACTCGCGCCATCATCCTGCAAGGAAAGTGCTGATGATAATGCAATTATAACACCACAAAGCATAACATATGAAGCTCAACTACCTTAGGCATCATTGAAAAAATTAATGAAAATATGCTTGTGGCAACTTGCGAGTCTTGAAGCGCCTGCACAACCGCCTCCGGGAACTTACTGCATGGGCAAACACATACCAGTGACATCACATCGCATCTTCTCCATGTCGTCACAGCCAAAGTAACTTGTTTTTTATATATTTTTTTACATATGCATGTTCAGGGAAAGGATTTTAACAATTTACAAGGAATTTTTTTTGGTGGGGGAACACTTCAACTTCCGTGCACCACCAGAATGTCACAAAGCTGCGCAGCACGGAGGTTAAATTCACTAGAATACACTTTTCACGAGTCTTTTATAATATCTGTACATGTACTTTATGTAAATAAAAATTGGTGGTTTAAAAATTTATTCCAATAATATCTGTGTATAAAATAAATTTCTTTTAACGATGAAAACAAATTTAAAACAAAACCAAGCTGTACTATGATTTTTTTAAAAGCTAAATTGTCTAGCATAGAAAAAATTTCTTTGGAACAGATATTGAGACAGAATTATACTCACCACGTCTGCACAATAATTATCTCTATCATTCTGGTTATCATAGTCATATTCATGGATGCTGTCATCCACAGTAGCTGCCTTTTTCTGCCTCTGTATGACAATTGCTGGACGCCCAAACAATCTAAAAATTTAAATAAATCAATAGTGTTAACTCAAAATAACAGGCCAAAATTGATCTGCATATTATTTTGAATTCAATACAGTATTGTATTTCTTAAACTGGATACTCTAACATAACACATACTAAATACACAAGTCAACTTAAACCAAAAGATAACCGAGCAAAATTCTAAACAATTAAGTTAAGAGATTTGGTTACGTTCAGCATATTCAACAAGAGGATATTTAAAATTCAGCTGAATGATATCGCTTATAACGTGAGACGGTTTTGTGTGAAATAATGATATTTCTAACATTGTGAATATAATGCACAGACACAAGGTTTACCATTTTCTAAAAATTCCTTTATTCAAAGGTGCTAATCAGCACAATTCTATTTTCCTCCAGCAAAGAATCTATTATCCCTGCCAACATATTTAACTTCTATTCAGGGAATATACTTATGGTAAATAAAACTAACTTGGTGAAATTTCTTGATTCATAGTGAAGATCAATAGGCAAGGTGGTTTTCTCTTTGCTCCAAACTTTTAGAGTGGAATTTGATAGTTTGGTCGCTTTGCGGGTGACAGTAAATAACTTGGCAATCTCTGGATCTTCTTCCTCATATTTTAAACTGATCAATTCCTTTTTCTTCTTTTTTGCCTCATCTGCTTTAGTGCTGCTAATGGTTTTTACTGCAGAAGAAAATTGTATTTTACCATTTAATTTTGGAGAGACATTAATGAATTACAAAAATACATACATACATAATTCAAGTAACTGTTATTAACCTCTCAATTGTTGTACTTTAACTGAGAATCACAAGGATGGGACACCCAGGCTCAAAGAACCATGAATTCTGCCAATCATGACAAAACTGTACTCACCTCTCTTCTATCTCAACATATTACACATAGAATTTTTTACCTAAATTGTTAAATATTTGACTATGGTGAACTGACTTAAAAGTAGCTTATCACATACTGGAACATACAGTAGGTCATGTTTAACTAAACTTTAACAATGGAAATATTTTCTCATAAGAGAGATAGTACACCTCTGTGCTATAAAGACTGCCTCGAATCTAGACACAGTAACTACAACCTTTAGATAACGGTTTCATTCTCCAATGTCCAGGGCCAGCCCAGGCTGACAGCAAGTGGTTGTCAAAGTAGGAGTATTCAGATGGGTTTAGCGCCAGGTGATCCTTGAGGTGTACAGCCTCCATGAGAGGTGGTGGAGCTTTCTGGTACCCCTCATGTCCAATGGTGACCACAGTGCCATCCTCGGGGCACTCGTCGTCGTCTCCCATCTGGTCTGCTCCTTGAGGTCGGTAAAAGAAACATTATAAATATTGAAAATAATTTAATTTGACTTTAGTTTGCTTTCTGTTAATATTTAGAGCATCTATCCCCATCTACAGACCCATCACAGGAAAAAACTAAATCATATGAAAGTTGAATCTGGCTAAGATAGGAAGCCTCAACCAATACCCTTATTTTATCCTGCCTACTAAACCCATTTAATATTCTGCACCTCTCATGGTCCTTCCCATGCACTCTTCCTATCATGATTCTGAAACAGTACTGCTGACTTCAGTAGCTAAAATATAAACTACCAAAATAAAATATATTGTGAACACAAACACACAAGCACAGTACATAAAACTTTTATAGTTTAACATGTTAAATGATTAGACTCGACCTACCATACTCATCATCAGCATCAAATTCATCATTGCCAATTGGTGCTGGTATAGCATTGACATCAAATCTGTGGGAGTCATTTCCACCTTGGTCATCATCCTTCTCGTCCATTAATTTTGATGCATCACAAAAGGAGTCCTCATCACCTAACTTCCAAGTTGTGAACTCAAAGGTTGCAAATGTTGGGCATATCATCAACTGGCTCAAATCTGTTCAAAGAAATTACGGCAAGTATTATTCATATTTGCACACATGAATAAGGCTGCAAAATCAAGAAATTATCACGTTATGTATGCTGGGTCAGAAGTCAATCAAGAGAGTGATTCTCAGGCAGGCAATCACAAAATATAAAGTGGAGTAGCAGGTACAGGTGTAGTGGTTACAACCACTTCTATTCACAACTTCAAGACAACATATAACTCAGAACATAAATATTAAAAGAGGAAATAGGCACACCAGTTATAAAAGCCTATTAGGCATGGCATAGACCTAAATCTCCCTCTTCTGAAGTCACTGATACTTAAGTAATTCATAAGCAAATGCAAGCATCATAACACTGTTCTTCCCAGAGGCCTCTGAGAACCACACACTGCCCACATGCCTCTGACAAATCCCCCCCTCTGCTCACAAGGATCAGACACCACTACCACCACCACCAGTTCAGAGTAGTTAACAAATGGAATGCATTAGGCAGTAATGTGGCAGAGGCAGACTCTATACACAGTTTCAAATATTGCTATGATTGAGTCCAATAGGCTCAGGAATCTGTATATCAGTTGGTTGACAGTCGAGACGCGGGACCAAACAATTGAAGCTCAACCCCCGCAAGCACAACTAGGCAAGTACCACTCTGCTGACAATGCTCTGACAACAACTCTTCCCACATGGTTCTGACAACACTACTTTTCCTCACACGGCTCTGACAACACTACTTTGACTTGTCAACCACACTATTGTGGAAATAAACTCCTGGACCTCCAAGTGCCCAGGTGAATGACATTTATTTCCATGGTAGTGTAGTTGACAATTTATATGACATGGGCGTGGATCACTAATTCCTCCGAGCTTCAATAGTAGTCAGGGACAGTGGAAATTTTAGCGGGGCAGCGGTTAGTTGCTTCTGGAATCTTTCCTTATTAAGGTTGCTTGTTCATAGCCCAGTCAATAAAGCTTCTGACTTACGCTCGTGGGGTCGGCAGTTCGAGTCTCCAAGTGCCCAGGTGAATGAAACACTACTTTGCATACATCACGATAACAATCCCACTCTGCTAGCAGGGCTCTCATAACACTATTCTGCCTAAAAAGTTCTGCCCACAAAGCTCTGACAACACCACTCTGCCCACAAGGCATTGACATATCACTCTGTCCATAAGGCTCTGATAACACCATTCTGCCCACAAGGCATTGACATCATCACTGCCCATAAGGCTCTGACAACACTATTCTCCCCCATAACATTGCACCCCGACTGCAACACAAAAGTAAATAAACGTGCAACTCTCACCTCCTGGTTTTGGTATACATATTTTTTCCGTCTTTGCAGGAATTGTGCCTCCGGACATATCCATCATGATTGTTTCAGAATCAAGAATCAAGAAGCATGAATCATCCTGTCAAAAAAGAAAAAGAGACATGGCATTCTCAATTACAAAAATTTAACAGAAGTAATTTTTTTTTACATCAAATACAATACATACAGTTACATAAAACCGACACAAGCATATTGCTAATTTATATTGTAATACCAATTTCAGATCCAATTAATAGGCATCTTTTGTGCATGTGAATGTGTGTGTGAATGTAATTGCCTAACAGCTATGCGATAAGAGATACTGTATTGCATTGAATGGGTTAAGGAAAGATTAATACGAATTAGTACTGATAATGCACATTAATCTTTAGGTATACAACATTCTTTGTAGTAAGTTGAGTTATATATATTAGTGATGGGATGACAAATGGAAACCGGCATCAAGAATCGGAAAAATTGATTCTTCCCGATTGGCTGCCTGATCAACCAGGTCTATTACTGCCAGCGGCCCACAAGGTAATGTAGCCATAACAACCTAGCCAATTTGGCACAAAAAACCTGCAAGGTTCAATCAAACCACTTGTACAAAATACCATGTTAGCATATAGGGATACCTTAAGTAAAGACTTACCTGTAAATGGAGAGCATTGAGAAATTGTCCACTCCCTGAGCGGCCTTCATCAAACTGTGAGGTAGTCTTCTTAAACAGAGGGTCAACATCAAATTCTAGATCAAATTTGGCAACATTGATGTTCTTTAGGTTTGTTTCCACAACAGCTTTCTTTTTTACCTAGAATAAAAGAATAAAGTACAATATGACAATTATTCTAACTTAACATAGCAGATAGGCATAAACATTTTAGGAATTCCAGCTCTAATCTCAAACACAAATTACAATTACAATCTGATACATAACTAACAGTGAGGCAGTGAATCTCAGTCTAGTTTCCTTTATTGGTTATCTTATAAGGCAGTCATAAGTGTCATATATAACCTAACTGCAGCATCATGTAGCTTCTCACACTACCTAAACTACATAACCACTATGTACACAGTAAGCTGCCCACCCAATTGCAATATTGTGATATTATATCCAGATCCGAAAAACTTATTATTACATAAGCATTACCTCCATGTAATGATTACCAACAGTGATAATTACTAATAATACTCAACAGTGAACTATAATTATATTGGAACACTGTGCCCTCTGATGGGGAGATCAAAGCAAAGCAACAGGGTAGATATGGCTAGATTATTTAGCATGGGTAATACACAAACAAGATGACACAGATACAATTAAAGTACCCACTGGAGCCACAGAAATATCATAAATAATTTTTCTAAGTCAGGATAGTGAACAAATGAAATGCTAAAGTGAAGTGGTCAAGGCAAACTATTCACAGCTTAAATGTAGATATGACAGCAACCAGGCTCTGGAATCTACACAGCAGTCAATTAAGGGTTGTGAGGCTGAATCCAAGAGCTGTTGCTCATCTCCCTGACAATTAACTAGGCATGCATAGGACATCATGTGAAAAGCCCACTGGGCATCCCATTCTGGTGAGCATTTACACAGATGATGAAAACCAGCCAGCTAAGCTGGTAAAACACCCAGCTCACTAAATAGCAGCAACAAGAAACAGCTGACCGGCAAAAAGAAAAGAAAGATGGGCACAAAAACAAAAGAGGGACTTAACTCAAGACAACTCTCCATAGAACTGGCAGGCACAACTCCTCTATGGTAAGCAAGTAAGTCGAAACTAGAACAGACATACAAACTCCAGCACCCACAGAGCAGGAACAAGTCCAGAAAATACCAGGGCAACACCCCTTCTCCAAGGCAAGAGGTGAAACCCAAGAGCCTGGCAGGGTCAACAGAGGACCAACAGGGAGCCACATAAAACCACCTCCACTATGGGTGGCATTTGCCTTAAAGCGAGTCTGGAGTTTTTTGCTTCAGTCTTTCCCCGGTTGGAACACCTTGGCTGGTGGAGTGCACTGGTTGCAAGCATGCTACACTTCAATGCACCGTGGTAGTTTTTCCTAACTGTCTCATCCAGGCTGGGTTACTTTACATGGAACTTTTAAAAGTACTGGCATCATGTCCCAGTGCCTGGGTGCCCAGCTTGGATTAAGTAAGTTAGGGGGCCCCCTGTAAGTTAGGGGGCCTCTGGAGTGCCCCTGACCCCTCCCTCGCTTCTTGCGAGATGAGGTTTGGTCATCGTCTGTCACAGGGAGACGTTTATTGCGCGTGCTTCTGCTATGCTGCCTGTTGAGTCACACACACACACACACGCGCGCATGTATATATACTGTATATCTCTGAACCTAAATCTTATAATTGTACACACACAAATTGTATTTGCCTGTAAATATATGTGGTAATCATTCAATTGCTATTGTTAAAAGTTTGATTGTTCCTAGTATGGTTGCCCTACACATTCAGACACTGGATGGTGATGCACCTGATAGGGGAAGTCTGAATATTTTTACTTGGCCCTCAAAGGAAAGAAAGGGACTTAGGATCTTTCCCAAATATGGCAATTGATTGACAGAGGTCTCTAGTGTCAAATTACATCCCCCATAGACTGGGGGGCTATTTAAAAAATGGGGCACCTTACATCATCTCCAGGTAATTGGAGCACATGGGCCAATTACCTGGAGATGATTGGAACAATTTAAGGGTTAAATGGGTAAAAAGATGTCAGTGAGACAAAGGTAGAGTGAGCAAAAAATAACCCAAATTTAGCTTAAGATACACAATTAATATTAAAATAGGATATAGTAAGTGGACAATGTGGAAGGGAAGACACTGGTACAAACCAGTAAGCAGCACTGCCATGCGAGTCTAGCCAAAGAAAAGAAGCACCAGTTCAGTAAACAGATCTTGTATGCAGGCGATGAGTCACAATAACCTGGCTAAAGTAAGTTGACCAGACCACACACTAGGTCGTCATCCTTTCACCTTCTAGTGTGTGGTCTGGTCAACAGATCTTGTATTTTTCAAATACAGTATTTTCAAAATATTGATTTCCAGAGGCAGACAATAAGTTACAATAATGTGGCTGAACATATAATGACCAAACCACACATCAGAAAATAAAGAAACATATTTCGGTTCATTACACAACTGGATAATGGTCCAAAAGAGACGGAAATGTGGTTTCTTCCTTTTTTGATGTGTGGTTTGTTCATCGTTGCTTTCCAGAATTAAATTTACACATACTTCAGCTTCACCAAGAAAATCTAATAAATATATACTTTATTAATTCAATACTCAGTGTCCTTCCCCATGACTAACTCAACAAGAAAACTGGGTATTGTTTACAATAGAGTACAATAAAGAAAGAACAAGATCATGTGACCATTTACCTTCCGTTTTTTTTTATCTCCTTCGACTCCATCTTCTATGTTCATATCATCATCTTCCTTATTCTTTTCTTTATCCTGAGTTCGCCCCAAGCCACCTGCCATTTTCAGTGTGTCAGTATGAACGCTGTCAACACGGTAAGCATAAATCTTTGTGCTTGCATCCAAGGTACAACTAGCAACCTACGGATGAAAAAATTATACATGAATGAATAAGTGCAATTTAAATAAAAATATATACAGTACATAATTTTAATTTGATTAAGCACACACATACACACACACTTTATTGACTTTGCTCACCACATAGTTCATATAAGGTTACCCTGCATTGCAAAAACAAATTTTGCATGGCATCTGAATGATTTATCTGTTTTAAGAACTAGGTCTTTAGTGTCAAATAATCTAATATTAATTTAACCTCTGCAATAGGTTTAAAACATAAGCTAAGCTTGCCAAGAGAATGAAATACTTAAGTGGTATCCAATCCTTTAGCAAGATGAGAGACCTAACTAGCCAAACTCAACTGCCTTATGGTTGGTCAGTGCATGGTTCATCACAGAACGGAGAGAGGGCATAGGGAACTCCAACTCTGATAAAGCTACATTCACTACAAATTTAAGGTTAAAAATTCTGGATAAAAGTTTGTTTTTGTGTTTTCTTGTTGTAATTTCATATGGTTAAAATGTCAAATATGTCAAAATGTTAAAATACCAACATACTGTAGTTATGAAACACAACAGCAGTAACTGATAACGAAGATAGTAAATTTTGTTTAGGAAGGCATTTTCGATATACTGTATATGACATCAGTTGGAACCTGGTCCCAAGGTAATGCCGAATACCACTTCATGCTGGGCATAAACTTCCATGCAAGCCTAGAGTAGGTATGGTGCAGCCTTACAAAAGTTGTTTCATCACTGTGCAGGGCATCTTTTATGGCTGCTTATGAAGATGGCTGTACATGAGGCCACAAACAAATTTGATGATAGGTTCAACAAAGACCATGGTTGAGAAATTATCAATGTCTATAAAATAGTCTATAAAATAAAATTATCATGGGGTCTATAAACTCTGTGGGTTTATAGACCACAAGAAGTAGCTGAAAGATGACATTTATTTAAGCTGATGGCCAAGCACTGGAATATGAAGATTATTCAGGTTTGCAATTCATTGAGTTTACTAAATACTAGGAATGCAAATATTTGGTTGAGGTTCAGTTGTTTGATATAGAAATAATAGTGACTTGAGTTACAATTGGCTTTATTAAGACTAAAAATTATAAACACACACCAGCCTGATGTGAAAGTGATCACATGTTATACACAGCAGTTCACTATATGTACCTCAGGGAGCGGCACAATATACCTGCATATCCTCAGAATATAACACTGTTTACATTTTTTCTAGTTGTATATACATGATAAACTATTGATAAACCTGATTATTTAGTATTAGTCATGCTACAAATGTAAATAAATGAAATACTGAAAACAGTCTAACCTGGAAGTTGTTCATATCTGAATCTTTTCTTTTAAGCATCTCAGACATGTAGTCAATAAGCTGCAGATTGAATGCATTCTTCACACTGATTTTCTGAAACAAACAAAAAATTATTACAAAACTGTAATGACCACTTGACTAATTTGTAGCAGCATTAGGTATTCTTAATGCCGTTTCTAAAAATATCCATTTAATAACAAATTGAAAAGTCCACTGGCAGAAGGAGTCATGTAAGATTATGAATGGAAAAAGGGTAAAAGGCCTTTCTGGGTTTCTATGATGTAATGGTTTTTACCACATTCTTCTGAGCACAATGACGTTTGGAGCAGTTTGTGAGGTTATCTAAGGAGCACTTGGTTTTCATTAGGTATAGTTCTGCTGGCGATGCCAAAGTGTTTTAGTCTTGCTTAATATTCGATCAAGTTGACATTTTTAGCCATTCTTGTTTTCCTGCTTTTGCTAACAATTTCACTGATATGGAGAGTTTTGGTCATTTTCAAATAGCTTTACTGGCATTCATTTGGTTTCTCTGATGTGAAATACTAAGCAGGCTTGGCCATAGCAGTCTCTCAATTAATAAGCCACTACACAGTTCTGGCTCCATAGGAGCCATCACGGCTCCTACAGATTTGCTCACTGTTACAGGGTAGTTTCTGGCTTTGGTCTCCAGCAGACCAAACAGAACTCCCGCAACTTATGCGACTTGTATGGAGCAATCTCAGCAAGATAGCTACTGGGAGCAATCAGGGCTCTACCAGAAAGAGGGATTTTATTACATTCAATGCCAGGTTCTTTACTTTACCACTGATACCTTAGAACCATTCCACTTACAGAATTCGCCTAGAGCAGATCATGCCGGGCAAAAATGGACTATGTGGTACTATGATAACATACTCAAACATGATAATTGACAGAATTTGAAGGAATTTTATCCTTTGATTTATTTAAAGTTTCAGTAATGTAAGTAATAAAGATTGTATATTATATATAAAAAATAAAGTATTGTAATAATGTAGTTTCAACTTCCTTTACATTATTATTTTGATCTGGAAAAGAAACTTAGGCATTAGGAAATTAATTGTTCCTATCTTGGTAATTTTTTGGCTCTTGGCATTTGCAACTTGTTAATTTTCATTGCACACAGAAGTTAAATGTCAATTACTATAATTTATTTTTCCATCGGTTGTGATATATTTCAGGAGATAATTGATTTTGAATTTCATTGCTATATTACTTAAATGTTCCAAGATATTTAATGTTTAGCATGGAGCAGACACACCTGGAAACCTTCCCTTCACTGCCCCTCAAGAATTTTGGAAGGGCCTTGAAAAATTTTGGAATGAACCTTGTGGTGATTAATTTTGGTAAATGAACATCCCACATGCCTCTCCAGCACCAGCATAACCCAGCAGGGGTATATGAAAACATCGCTTCTGAGCTGGTGCACAGCATTAGTATGTCCAGATAATATCCAACATCTTACCCAGGTGACCAATAGGATCAAGCCTTAGGAAGCAACACGTCTCGTTTTTAAGAAGTGCACTGGGCGATGCATCGAAATAAACATAAGTAACTTGGCGGCACGATCATTGGTGTGACATGTGACAAGAAGACAGGTCAACTAACATGGTAGACAATCATATCTTTACCACTTAATCATTCCTTGCTAAAGTTTGAAGACAAAATATATCAGGTTAGATTAGGTAATGATAAATTTGGATAGAATATATTAGATTATGGTTTGGAGAAAGTTGGAAAAAAAGGTTATTTGTACCAGGAACCTCGGAGTGTCATGGATCGAGCACATCACAAGTAAAAGGAATAGGGTCTAGTCCCAAATACAGCAGTTCATACAGGCAAGGTTACACTACAATCGGTAAACAAGAGGAAAAACAATTGCATGCAGCTAAGAAGGTAACAATGTTTAGATATGAATCTTGATATTTCTAAGATATAAACCATAGTACTCTATTTTTAAAAGCTCAATTAATTTGCTGAATACATACATAGAAGGTCATAAATAAATTAACCTCTAACAACACTGTCAGAGATTAAATATTAAAGTGATTAATATGATTACATTTTCAGCAGATAGCTGAATGCACTTTGCATAGTGCTCAGTAAGTTGCTGATTAGTGAGACCAGCAACGGCACTGAGGGACTTGCGTTTGTCAGGCTGTGCTGAGCTGGGAGAAGAGTAATGCCTCGCCTGCAACTGCTGCTGTAGACGATTCAACTGCCGCTCCTTTTTCTCCTGCTCATCATTATTCTGAAAGTAGAAGCAACAAATTACTTCTACGCATTCAGTTCAAAATAAAACAATGATGCACAGCAATGTGAATAAGTAATAGTAGTCTTATCACAAACACAATAACATAGGATAAAAAAGCCTCACTTATGTATTTATGTAAAGGTCTGAACTACACCAAGACTTACTTGCCTCAGTACATTTTAAAGGTCTGAGTACTGTATAAGGTTAGTCGTTGAGGTGCAAGTCTTGTCCAAACCATATATACTGTACTCAGACCTTGATAATGCACTCAGGAGAGTACAAAAGACTTGGTTCAGAAAGTTCAAATCTTTACATAAAATACAGAAATACACAAGTGTGGGTTGTTTATCCAACAATGTAAATGAAATGCAAATTATTTGTCAATAAAACGTTAAAACTAAAAAGATAAATATTAGGTTATCTATACCTAAGAGCATGTGTGGCATCACTCCCATTGGCCTGATATACAGTACAGTATTTTTATTTACAGATAAGTAACTTTGACAGACCTATGAATTGAGAAAACATGGAGAGATGAATGCCATAGGAGTTGTACAGTATACTGATTATGTTGCTCAAATATAATAGAACAGATTGCTAATGGCAGATTTTTAACTGAAATTTTTAAATGTGGTCAACTACAATTATTTTTATACTCTTGCCACTCACTCTGAGGGCAGACTTTCCTGATATTTCTCTACAGGCTATTGCTGCCTCTAAGTCAAATTAACAATTAAAACATAATTTTTCCAAAGAATACAGTACATAAATTTGCTTTTAAAAGTTTCATGCTTTTGATATTAAAAGAGTTCCCAAAATGTCCAAGATCATCTAAGCACCTGCTTTGAGCACAAGACAGACCTGGGACAAAGAGGTCATCCAAAAGGAGGGGACAAGGAATGAACCGGTTCAGCCTGGAAAGATTGAGAATGAAACAAAGGTTCAGTGAATCAGTATCGGAGCCAGAAAAAGATTTGAGACTTACAGAAGAGATACAGTCATTTCAACCACACCAGAAGCCACCCAACTCCACGATGCCCCAACGAAGGTGAGGAGAGGAGAGGAAACCTGCCCTGAAAGGTTTCTGCTTTTAATTGCTTTTAAATACTATACATGGATGGTGAAATACTAAGGAAATTGTTCTCGACCTTCGTTAAATCAAAACTGGAATACTGTATGCAGCGGTTGTGTGGTGCCCATATATTAAGAAGCACATCAACAAACTGGAGGAGGTGTAAGGACGTGCAACTAAATGTCTCCCAGAACTGAAGGACAAGAGCTACGAGGAGAGATTAGAGACATTAAATATGCCAAAACTAGAAGATACTGTAGAAGAAAGAGAGGCGATATGATCACTTCGTACAAAATAATAATGGGAATCGATAAAATTGATAAGGAAGAATTCCTGAGACCTGAAACTTCAAGAAAAAGAGGTCATAGATTTTAACTAAACAAAGCCGCCAAAGAAATATAAGAAAATTCACTTTCGCAAACAGAATGGAAGACGGTTTGAACAAGTTAGGCGAGGAGGAGGTGGAGGCTAAAACCATCAGTACTAAGTAGTTTCAAAGTGATATATACAAAGAGTGCTGGGAAGACGGGACACCACAAGCATAGGTCTCATCCTGTGACTACACTTAGGTAATTACTGGACAACGAACCCATAGGGGATATCCAGCCTGCAAGGGGTAATAACTTTACTGGAAGCCCAGACTCTGGGATGCTACGCCTACCAACTTTCATCTAAATCTGAGATGATCATACTGGGAGCTTTGATGAGTTAGCATAGAAGAAGGAAGTAGAAGACCCCCCATTAAAGTAGAAGAAAAGGTGATGCACCGGTGGGAACCCATTGACTCAACAAGGATGAGAGATTAGATGAATTTATCAAATAGTTTTATCAGAATAAGATTCAGAATAATCAGAGGGGTACCCAATATGAGAGAACAATATTCAAGGGGAAATATGGGAATGTAATACAAATTTATTTAATCTACAATATTCAAGAACATGCCAAACATAGCTCAGAATATGTAAATAATGAAGCTAATGAAGAAAATATACCTGCTCTTACACTTTTAACAATAATGTACATAAGCTTTGGATAATTAATGTATCAACAATCAAAAGATGTTTATAACACACATCACATGAGGTTAAGATGCATGATAAAATAAATTTATTTAAAATATTGTAAGACAGTTTTCCAATTACTAATACATACTGTGATAATTTAGTGCATATCTATTGAGAAACTTAGCATCACTCATTATTTATAAGGAAAATATTAATATTCAATTATCTCTATGATGGTATAGATGACATAAATGGTACAGTACTCACTTCTGGTACATCAAGGAAAACTTGATCTGATGTCATTGACACATCAAGAACTGAGTGTCTCTTGGAGCGTGGACTATCAGGCATAATGCTGCGACGTTTGGTGGGGGAGAGTGTGAACCCAATCGTAGACTGTCTATTGCTTCGTGGCATCTTGGCATACCCAGCCTGGCTCAACCCTCAAATGCTAACTGAAAGTACAGTATTCCTAAACATCACGATGTACAGTACATTTGTGTGTAATATTATATATATATATATATATATATATATATATATATATATATATATATATATATATATATATATATATATATATATATATATATATATATCTATATATCTATCTATCTTCCACACATATATTATATATATAAAATAATTTACTATGGGCTCCAGCCCATAGTACATTTGAGTTCAAAATTTGTGTTCAAAATCATATAGTGGCCTGGTAAAGTTTTTTATCATAAGTTGAAAATTTAAATAAAAATCGACCATTAAAGATTTTACTTCAAATTTTATTAAACTTCATGAAACTGCTTAAGATATAGACAGCATGCAACGATGTCCCACAGTGAAGCATATACATGGGTATGTCAGAGCCTCGACATCCACAGATACTTTATCAGTGGCAAACATGTTATATGAGAGGCATGATGCCCAATGATACATTACTGGCAGAAGCTCACATAATACATATTAAATCCACAATGCCCATTGACACATTACCTGTGGAATCTGTGGGCCTCGACGTCCAGACTTCACCAGTAGACTCTTACATATATATACACGAGTCTCTTGACCCCTACAGATACTTTCCCAGTGAGAGCTACGTGTGTCTGAGGGTATCGCCACTTACAGCTACAGTACCAGTTGAAAACACATAGGAATACGAGTCAACTCAACTATCAAATGTAATGCTATGAAGTGCCTGATTAAATCAATTTACCCGCAGCAATATGCAGCAAGGTAAGAGCCTAACCACAGTGGGTGAGATAAGAGGAGGGACAGAAGGTGGGTGTACAGCCTGGTGTGACACCCTCCGGAGCTACTCACCAAATATCCCCCAAAGAATTCTTTATTCTTCTCTAGACTCGGCGTCTGCGAGTGGGTGAAGGGTAGTGGGTTCTCCTCCGTCAGTTACCACCAGTTACTACCAGAAGGGGGTCACACTACGTCGCTATTCCTCATATAATACAAGTTATTCCCAATTCGCGCGGGAGAATCTTCAACCAAAACAAACATATTGGGGGGGAGTAGTTTAGCCCCCAGACCTCGGTATAATGGCTCCCCTGCTCGTCTTCTCTTCTTTATTCGCCCCTCACGCACACTCCAAACTTTTATCCAGCCCTCATGCCTAGCCACGCCTTTCTATGAATACAAAATAAGACCTAAATCACTTAACAGAATTTGAAAAAGTTGTACCAACCCGCCGCTAGTGGAAGTTGTGGCGAGATCTCGCGAGACCCCGCGAGACCCCGGCACTCTGCGCGCCAAATTTGATTGTATCTTTCAGTACATGCTGAGGTAAGGTAATTATTAGGAGGAAACGCTTAGCCATTATCGCTATATAATACTTGAAAGGGATGAGGATAAGGATTTGGGATGAGAAAGGGGCGGGGGAAGGAATGGTGCCCAACCACTTCCACCGTCCAAGTTGGACGGTTGGGGACTGAAAGCTGATCGACCTGCATGAAGCTAGACCGTCGCTCTACCGTTCACCCCAAGGGGTTGGGCTTACTACATGTTGAGTCACAACTATCTTTATATCTATACCGGCAAGCATGAACAAAACTAATCACAATATTTAAGATAATAGTGTTCAGAATGAAGGTCCAATCTCTCAGTCCCCTAGGAACAATGTATAGAAATAAAGAATTTAATTACCTGGTAATTAAACTTGACACGTTGATCAAATTCGTTTATTTTCGTGTTGTCGGTGACAGGAAGACTGTGCACATATATACTTTAGGCTTGTATCGATATCCTCCCCTTCCCAAGGTCGAACTACTGATCCTCCCCAAAATGCAACCTAATAACCGTTCCCCAATTCCCGGGTGCCTGTTTAATGCTAGGTGAACAGAGGAATTAGGTGAAAGGAAATGTGACCAATCATTACTGTCCCACCTGAGCTTCGACTCGAGTTGACCGGCTTTGCCCAGGTCTCTTTTCCCTCCTCCCCATCTTTCTCCTCCCCCTATTTCCCAATCTTTCCCCCCCCCCATTTCCCAATCTTTCCCCCCTGTCTCATCTCTCATTCCCTATTCCTGCTTCTGTTTCCTTCTCTTCTCCCCTTCTCTCTCAATCTTCCCTTCTCTCACCAAATTGATATTCAGACCCCTCTCCCCCCTCTGGTCTGAACATCACACCAGAAATAAACAAAATATATCTTTGATATTCCTGGTCTGACTCAGTCTATACAAACACTCCATACAACATAAAATTTAATATATTAAACTCCGTTCACAATGCAGTCAAAAAGTGTTCAACCTACACTTTATTCAAAAAGTAAAACCATGAAATAGTTGTAATTTCCTTACTAGTGTGTCCCATCTTGTGCTAAGTCACCATTACTCTGTAACTCCTCATAGATAGAGCTGTATATCCAAACTTTGCGTTTATTTCATTTATTATGCATATCATACCCATCATGTGGGCGGTAGTGGACTCCATACCCATCCTATGGGCAGTAGTAGACTCCATACCCATCCTGTGGGCGGCAGTGGAAAGGTTATAGAAGTATATTATGAGCTCAGGAACGGAACTCATATTCAGGTAAGCAAGTGACATCATTGATGACCAAGTTACAGACCTTGGTTATATATTCATCAACAGTCTACTCACAGGTTCGGTAAGTTTAGTATAACACGAAGGTGCTACAGTTACATAATGGGTTCAGGAACCTATAAAATGTAGTAGTTACAGGCACTCAAAGCAGAAATGCAATGCAAATTAGGGGCCCTAAAATGTGGAATGATGTTCCAAATGTGATTCTATACTATATATGTTTTGCTAGAACTACAGATTCCATAATAAAATCGTCTGTGTCTTTCTTCATTAAGTATCGCTTAAAATCTGTATATCATTTGCTAAATTTCTTGAACAATTCACATATAAGTTAACTTACTTCTCGTTTAATATTAAGTGTTTATTTCATATATTGTATGTACATACTCTGTAACAATTAATAAACCATTGTATCATATTCTTCTGTATATTTGTTAAATCAATTATTATTATTATTATTATTATTATTATTATTATTATTATTATTATTATTATTATTACCTCATATATCTGTGATAAAGTTATACATGGCTGTGATATAATTTCCTCACTGTAGCTATATGATCATATGTATCCCATATGGTCATGGGAAAATTATAAGTAAGAGACATGTAGGCAGCGCACACTTACACACAGTCACTACACTATCTACACATATACATATGTTAATATTAATAAAATGAACCCCATTACGTTGGATATGTTTTCCATGTACTCACCTTGTTGTGCTTGCGGGCGTTGAGCTTTGGCTCTTTGGTCCCGCCTAGTATGGATGTGCTTTTCAACTTCCTTACCGGCTTTAAGACTGAAATATGAATTATTGGCTTTACGAGAATGTAGGCTAAAAACTATATTCCCAAACTTGTAAAAAATAACCTATTGTATCTTAGAAATTATTAAACAATTAAGTTAATAAGAATGCACGGTAATTAAATTGCCCGAAACACTGTGGGTATTAGTGGCTTTAAACATAGAATATACTCGTTCTAACTAGAAATCCTATATTATGTTTGTAACTCATTTTGTATGTATGTACTTTTATCATTATTATTATTATTATTTATTATTTATTTATTATTATTATTATGTGATTATTAATTATTTATTAATAGTTACTCTATTATTAATACTAAATCTCTATAAACACTCAATGCAAATAAAAGGACCCAGTCTATGGAACTCACTCCCTGATGAATTAAAAAAATTATCCAACCTGTCTTATTCAAAAGTAAAACCAAAAATTACCTAATTTCATCCTCATAGTTTCCTACCTTGTGGTTGGCACACTGTATCTTGTACTACCCACTTCCCCAATGTCAGTACTTAAGATATATATCTTTACCATCTTTACCACTTCTGTCAGTTTATATTGTAGGTATTTATTGATATAAAATCTTGCTACAATGTATGTTAGATTAAGGATCTGCCCGAAAGGCTATACATGTTAGTGTCTTTGCAAGAATGTAAAAATACCAATGTTATGTAATCTCACCAACCCATTGTACCTTCTTGTGACTAAATTATTATTATTATTATTAATGAGTGCGATATATGAAGAGTGATGGAGGTGCCAGACGTAAGGTGGTTGTCATGGTGACTACGGAAGCATAATGGCGAGCTTCTGGCGGCCGGGGACGCCAGTTTAGCAGGAGAGGCGAAGGTGGGACGTACACCCCCCGCTCTCTGTACTCCCTCAGGTTCTCTACACTGCGGCGCCTCCTCCACTCTCACCATCAACACTGAGACACGTCGCCAAGAGCTACAATGGTGAGTGTCAGTCTCTGTCAACCTGACTATATGACATCTCTATTGTTTACATTATAAACTTATATATATAGCCTACTATGGAAGTTTTTTTGCTGCAATTATCACAAAGTTATGCAGTTTGCAACTGGGTGATATATAGCAGTAATTAAAATAATTGTCATCATTTACATCTTTCAAACGTTAGATTATTTGAGTGTCCCGCTAGTTCAGTCGGGTTTGTTCTCGATTCACAATCGAGAATTCCAGGACTGAAATGTTTGGGCGCATTTTCTATCACCTAATTATCCTGTTCACCTAGCAGCAAATAGGTACCCAGTAGTTAGTCACCTTGTTGCGGGGGTGGGGGGGGGGGGAGTTCAGTAATTCGACCCTTTGGGGGGGTCAGCAATTCGACCCTGGGGGGGAGGGAGGACCTGTAACCAGGGGCGCGTTGCTAGTTACAAACCAGGGGACCATTTATTCAACTACCTCCAGAAAGCAAGAAAACGGGTAATAACAGTGGACAAGAATTATGAGTAGAAGCGAAATCCGTCAGCAATTAAAGTGCTGCAGGTCAGAAGCCCTTCCATCAGAATTACACCAGGGGGGCAATTATAGATAGGGATCTTGCAGCGAAAATACACGCTGTACCTATAATCCAAGCCACAGATATGAAACGAAATGGAAGTGACTACCTTTTATTCATTCCTGCTGGACCCTTGGCAAGTCCTAACTGAGAAAAAGTAGTTTCTTCAGGACGTGCCGAAGCCTCGCTACTTCCATTTCATATGTATGGGTTTAGGGTATTTCTGTCCAGCCACATTATTTCGACTTATTTCCTACATATAAAATATAATATTGCCGGCTTCAAACATAATGTTATTGCAACGGCCACAGAGAAAGTTACCAGTAAAAATATGTACAATTTGATGTGCACATATATCATAAGCACATGATATATATGTGCACATATATCAACGCATATATACTTGGGGCAATACCCTGGTGGAGACCCTAAATTGCCTCCTCTGCTGAACGTCAGACGGAAACATGTTCTCCGCACGCAGTGTTACTGTACAAATATGCTTATAGGACACCGGGGGTGTCTATATCCTAGCATGGAGACCTCGCCTACAGAAGGGCATTATCACACTGGAAAATATTCAAGTTACTGAATAAGGTAGATAACATAATTCCAGACAACTGTCTCAATAGATCCAGCATGACTCGAACAAGAATCAACACTTAAAGTTATCAAGCCTCATTGAATCTTGAACAATGCAAAATACCAGTTCGTCCTCATCAACAACATCCAAATGCTTGTTAATCCATCCGCCAAACCCCCTGTTTATGAATGGAAAAACAGTTTTCACAAGATTCTTAAAAAAAAAAAAACTGTCCTCATGCAAGGCTCGATAAAGCAGTGGCTGTCCAAGACCCATTCATAAATTTTTACGTATTATTAAAAACAGATTTGTTTTCATATATAAATTAATATTATGAATTGACGATCTATTTATAGTTAGGTGTAGGTTAGATTAGATGTCCAGGCTCTGTTGAAGGTTAATTTTATTTGAAGTACTTGGGTGAAGCAATTACAGCGTTGTGGTTCCAACCTTTCCTCGGACCTAATCCATTCCATCTAGTGGTCGACCCCAAAGACGCATTCATCCAACCCGTCTTCCAAACGAAGACCCAAAAGTGATTCCATCCACCCGCCAAACCCCCTGTTTATGAATGAAAACCCGTTTACACACGACTCACAACTGATGACGTTCGAACATTTCTGGAACAAGTGATTCACTGACGAATTTTATTCGAACCACAACGCTGTAAAAACTTCACCCACATAATACAAATAATCGGCAACTGAACCTAAGCACCTAACCTAACCTATGCCTATATATGTACAATACGCTAATATAATATAATATTAATTTCGAGAAAATTCCCGAAGAAACTTTCTTTCTCGGAAGAAAATTCAGAGAAAGAAACTCTGCCCATTTGTTTTCGTCTCCGCCGGGGATCGAACCCGGAACCTTAGAACTACGAATCCCGAGGTGGTGGGAGAACGCAATGTTCATGTGGTGGTGGTGGTGGTTGTGAGAGAGGGGGGGGTTTAACCGTCCACAGGGGGGGGGGGAAGGGAGGGGTCCCCCCAAGATGGGGCTGGGGGTGCGTGTCCGCCGGACCCACCATGCATGATTATGGCACTAATTACGTTACCTCCCCCTCTCCCTACACTGGTGGTTCCTCTCCCTACTCTGGTGGTTCCTCTCCCTACACTGGTGGTTCCTCTCCCTACACTGGTGGTTCCTCTCCCTACACTCTGGTGGTTCCTCTCCCTACACTCTGGTGGTTCCTCTCCCTACACTGGTGGTTCCTCTCCCTACACTCTGGTGGTTCCTCTCCCTACACTCTGGTGGTTCCTCTCCCTACACTCTGGTGGTTCCTCTCCCTACACTGGTGGTTCCTCTCCCTACACTCTGGTGGTTCCTCTCCCTACACTGGTGGTTCCTCTCCCTACACTCTGGTGGTTCCTCTCCCTACACTCTGGTGGTTCCTCTCCCTACACTCTGGTGGTTCCTCTCCCTACACTCTGGTGGTTCCTCTCCCTACACTCTGGTGGTTCCTCTCCCTACACTCTGGTGGTTCCTCTCCCTACACTCTGGTGGTTCCTCTCCCAACACCCGCAGTTCCTCCCCCTACACCTCACCTTCACCGCCACCCCCTCCCCATTCCCTTGACCGTTGCAGTCCTTACCACCCGCATACAGTATCTCCCTCTACTTATAAATCCTCACTGCCCCATCCACCCGCATATCTCCTTACCCCTCCACCCCCACCCCATGCTTAGCGGCTGTGGTGGTGGTGTGGGTGGGTGAGCACCGGGTGGAGGTGGACCACGTGCTCAGAATAGTGTCGCGGGAAACTGGTTCTGGGGGTGAAGTAAACTATAGTAAAAGCAGGGAAAAATATGCCAACCTGTGTCCTCTTGCCTCCAACGTTTATTTTTGTGCAGAATGGACAAATCTGTTAACAATGCGGCGAATTTAGTAATGAGAGCGTCATATTGGTGAGAATGTATTTTTGTCGGGTTCGATATGTTAGGTGGGGATGCTGGGTTTTGTGAGCTTCTGGTTAGATGGTTGGGGAGACGACCCACCTCAGCAGACGAGGGAGCCAGGTACCTGGTTAGATGGTTGGGGAGACGACCCACCTCAGCAGACGAGGGAGCCAGGTACCTGGTTAGATGGCTGGGCAGACGACCCAACCATCTAACCAGGTACGACCCACCTCAGCAGACGAGGGAACCACTAACCTTCAGCGGTGTGTGAAGGTAAACACCGGCGACCAGAGTTGGGTGCCGTCGGGACTGTTATTGCTAGTAATGATTTTTTTTCAGTCATAAAGGGTAAACAAGGAAGGCTGGACGGACGGGTCCACAAGGCTGGGGAACCACGCAGTCACGCGTCCCATAAATCTTGGGTAATAAATTCAGGTTTCCCTTGGAGAGGTGTCCCGGCCTGGCACTGCTTCCGTGGAGCTTTCCGGCACTCAGCTCTGCCCTGCCACGCCTGCCACCAGTAATGGAAGTAAAATTATGGCTCTCGTGAATGCTAACAACCAGGTGAATCGAATTCACACCATAACTCCTCCATACTATCCCAAGGTCAGAAAGACGCGTGGGTGACCTGGGTCGCCCCGGGCACGAGGATGACGTGAACCTGGAGGTCAATACCAGGTTGCGTGAGCGTTGATGTCTTCCGCTTGTGTCGGTCGCCTTCATCCGCGGGTCGTGCCGCGCCTCTCATTACTCGCCTGAAACAAACACGCACTGGCCACATGCAGTTGGCCAGCGCATCTCGGGTTCAATTCCTGCGGCAGGGCAAAAGCGTCTGTGCAAAAGTTTCTTTTTATCCGATGCTTCTGTTCACCTAGCAGTATAGGGGAGAGTTTGACTGTTGTGGGTTGCATCCTGTGGAAGCGCAGCAGTTGGCTTAGGGAGGACCTTGAAAATCCTAACGAGCTTCTTGTCCCCTAACTATGAGAAATCACACCCGGGTGAGCGGGCAACCCGTCTCGCAGACCCGTGAAACGGGTCAGGGCATCATCCAGGGCATCAACCACGGGTGTGCAGCAACCATGGTTGGTGTCAGAGGTGGCTCACAAGTACAGTGCTGAGAGTTGTGGCTGTGTCCCATTATAGCTTTCCCCCGCCACCCATAACTCTGGTAATTCACATTCTACAGTGTTACAGGCCACATGTACGCTGCAGCAGGAAGGAGCACGGTGTGTCGTGATGCTCGGGGTGATGGGGGCAAGCCTGCGTGTTGACTACACATGGTTTACGTCACTTTATTAAGTGTCTCTTTGAGTACGATAATGTAAAGTTATGTGACATTATACATTGGTCAGGCTGCATCACACAAATAAACCTTCTTTTTTTTTGAGTTGGCTAATATATATATATATATATATATATATATATATATATATATATATATATATATATATATATATATATATATATATATATATATATATATATAGTGGTCTACACTACACGCTGTTTACACTTGACAAAAATTTACACCGGAGGGCACAGGAGCAGTGAACTCTGACCTGTTAGTAAGCTTGCAGCTTCATCTCCCCATAGCTCATTTTAAGCCTTATTTACATTTGTATTCTTCTTTATAACACAATTTGACAATCGGTTTATAACCAGGTCCGCAAATTAATACTTTGTTAACATGGTCAAACAGCTAAGGATCGATGCGAAATCATTTTGCATTCACTCCAACTGTACTGAAATTATATTGGTCATTATTTTTCCAAGAACTATTCATGGTTCAAGTTCAAGTATGTTTATTGAGATAAGAAAGAAATGCATCTCAAAGGGATAGAGTAGATTAGGCTATTTCTACCCCCTGCTATTCGTGGTAGACTACACAATTATAATCTCTCCCTTCCCACACAAGAAGCAAATTTAAGATCGTGCCAAACTTGGTCTAACGGCAA